TCGTTGAAAATGGCCGAGCCCCGGGGCCGCTGCCGTATCCCGTTGTCGCCATCGTCTTCGCATCTCGCGTTGGGACTTTCCCCCCCCTCCCCCCGTTTACTTTTTTCTTTAAAAATTCTCTCAAGCGGTTTCGCGGGGACTAGCATCCCCCAGTCTGCGTCGTCAACGCACAGCGACAGAGCGTCGACCGAGTGGCGATCGAGCGATGGTGGCGGCTGCGGCAGCGACGACTGCACAGAACACTCGCCGTGTCTCCGCCGAGTGACCGGGACGGATGATGACCTGGCCAAGGGGGCGTAAAAAAAAAACGAGCTACCCCCAGACAGAGCAGCATTGTTCACCCCCCAACCCCCCTTACCTACCCTCTGGCCTTCTCCGCACTACTTTCACGAAACTGCACCGCGCAAAACACCGGCGGCGTTCATCGCCGAACACTTTTCACATCGCTACCCGCCCGTCTGCCGGTGACGGCACCACGAGAGAGGACGTGGCGGCCGTCCAGAACGTCGCCACGACGGCCCGAGGAAAACACTAACACGAGACGCAGAGATTCAAGCCACTTTAGGGCCTCCCCCCCCCGCACCCGAGCCGTCTGATGGGGACCCTCCGAGCGCCCTCGCTGACTTTGACGTTCGTTCGGAATGAAACAAGCATTATCTTCTGCGCGCCCGCCATCTCCCGAGAGAGGCGCTGTGGCGCAAGAACGCAAAACGTGGTTTTATTTCATTTAACGTTTTTTTTTCCTCCCTCGTGGTTAATCTTTTTCATTTTGAAACGTACCGGTTGCGCTCAACTGCATTTTGTGTGAAAGAGTCGATGGTTTTTTTTCTTATCTTCTTTTTTTTTGCTTTATGGGAAGAAAAACGAAGACGGACAACAAAGAAATTTACGATTTTTTTTGTTTTGTGCAAAAAGCATTTTTGGGGGGGGGGGGGGGGGTGGACGCTCATAACCCGTGCGCACACCCCACCCATGTGCCCCCCCACCCCCCTCCACACCACGCCACCCCCCTATGGAATTCAGAACTTTCTCAGCCAACGTGGGACCCCCCTCCCCCCCCCCCCCCCCCCGAGTCAGGTCCGCTGTTTTCTTGCATGGAGCAAAGAGCGCTTTAGTGCCATGTTTAAACCGTCCTTGAATTTGCTCGATTTATTTTAGCTTACTTGAAAATCCGGGCCTTAAAAAACGAGAGAGAGAGAAAAAAGAGAATTAAAGATTGTCAAATTTTATCTGTCACATTTGCTGTGACCCCCTTCCCCACTCAACTGCTCCCACCCCCCTCTGTACCACCGCCCCCCGTCCAAAAAACCCCTCACAACACCACCTCTCTTAAGGTCAATTAATATATATAACTATTATAATGCATTGCTCACTCTGTCGCCCCCCCTCGTGTAGCATTAGTGTCGTGCGTGGGTAGGAGCCGTGTTTTTTTTTTCTCCTGGGGAGGGGTTGCGGACGGGGTGGCGTGTGTGACCCTCTTTCACGCGCTGCGGCAACGGTGGCGGCGGTGGGGATTGAGGGGGGCACGTGCAGCGTTAACGTGCTTGTACAGACATCTATCACGCCCCCCCCCCCACAGCCCTCCCACAAAAAAACTGCTGCGTTCTTAAAACCGCCGCCACTGTAGCCGATGTCCCAACGCTGTTGACCAACCCTTCGAATTTTTACCTTTTCGTTAACATTTTTTTGTCGCATCGTGCAAATATTTTTGTTAACAGGAATATTTTTTTTTAATGTCCAAAATATTTGCTGAGCAAATGCTCGTGAGACCGCTTGCCCCTGCGATGGTTGAGATAGGGGTGGGGGTTGATTGGTTTGGGGGGAGGTGGGTGCGTGATGAGGGTATGACGGTCATAGTGTAGTGATGTTCTTTTTTTTTTTAACCGACTTGTTATTTATAACGTTTGAGAGTTGACAAAAGCGATTGATGCAAAGCTCGCCAAGGCGCTACTTACATTAAGAAAATCTTCGTGGCTCCTGAAGGGCCCACGAACCGCCCCCCACTTTTTGCTCCAAATGTCCGGCGCAAAGTTTGCGACGTGGGTCCAAATTTATTTGCCCACCGCCGGCCCCCCAAACCCTGGCACAGCGGTGCAGCGACGAGCAAGCGATTCGGCAAGAATCGTCACTCCCGTTAGCGGAACTTGCATTTCTGAAACCTTACCCACCACCATCTCCCAAACCTGCTCGTTGTTTTCGCGTGGTCAAGATTTCCTCGCTGTCCCCTCGCAATAAAAGCCACGGGGAGAAAGAGAGGAGGGCGCCCGCCCGCCCGCCCGCCTGCCAGCCCGCCGACCTCTCCATATCGCGGCTTGACCGGCGCGCGTCACAAAAACACCGAGGGCATGTAACGATCCATGGCGTTCCCACCGTTTCTTACACTCGCGATACGCTCGTCTCCGACGGCGCGCATAGGAATCGGTGAAATTTTACGATTCATGCAAACGACGTGTAAAATGTTATGCAAAATGTTACCGCTATGCCAAGGCCCGCGAAAGGAGATGAAGACGTTGGAACGTACGGGGAGATAAAACTATACGCGACGTAAAGAAAACGAGAAAAGATTTATTTAATCGGGTCGCGATTTGCGAATGGTGGCAATTAATGGAACGGTGACAGGCGTTGAATCATTACATGCCTCTAATAAACACAACAACCACAACAATCAGTCGGCGCCACGGTGCAAGTCTGTGTCCTTTATAAGCAATTACGGTTATCGGCAACGATCATGTTAGTTTTTAAAAAAAATTGTCATTTCGGGTGAAGGCTGGGTTTCTTGCATCTCGCGATCACTATTGAAGTCTTTTTTTTGCTGGTGGGAAAACCGCGAAGCAGGAAATGGTGCTCCAGGCCCTGGAAATAATTCTTGATCGCCATTTCTGGAGCATACGGCAAGACTGACATGATCGGTGAACATTTCAAATCCGACACTTTTCTTGACATGGTGCGGAAACCCGGAACAACAGGAAGATGCGCTGCAAGCCAGAAACAAATATATTTAATCGCAGAGAGTTTTGCCTCTGTGTCATTGCCGCCAGTTGTTTCCGTTTCACTGCTGGCCATTTGGCATTGTTGGCCACGTTTACTCAACCCTATCGAGTTGTTGGTTTCAACAGTAACATGGGCCACAGCTTCAGCTGTTGAGCTGGTGGTCTGGGCAAGGCTTGAGAGTTGTACGTGCAATGTGGTGAACACGTGACACGCATGACAAAGTCGTGCCTTCCGAATACTATTTGTGAGTACACCTTTGTCCCTTGTTAAATCTGCAAGTGGAAGTGGGCACAAACAAATGCTCAGAAATGTCTCCCGAGGAATTCAGGTTTGGGTTTGGAGCGCCATTTCTCCTTGGCATTTGCTGCCCCCTTCTCGCCTCGCGATCCCGTGAGGCATTTTTGCTGCGACAGCTGTGAGAGGGGTGGGGGGGGTGCTTCCTTGACCACTCGAGAGCATCGTGGGGGGGGGGGGGGATTTGCTCATCGATGTAATCGCCTGCTGATGAAGCCACTGCTAGTGCTGCTGCTGCTATAGACGAGTGGAGTCTGGCCGTACCTGTATGTTGTATGCTGGCTGCCACATAACCGCCGCTTTCCAGACCAATTTTGTATTCTTTTGGACTTTTGTGTGTGCGTGTGAGCGTGTACTATGTGCGTGCGTGTGTGCGCGCGCGTCTCTTAGGTTTTATAAGTTCCTGTAGTTGGCATTCTTCTTTACCCCTTTGCTTTGTATCAATTCCTTAAGTCATTACAGTATGTTTGTATTATCTGTCATAAAAATGGCATAGTTGTAATTAAAAAAAAAGGAATTGGACAGCTTTTCGGAGGCTTTCTACGTCATGCTGTATTCATTGTTGTCAAGCATTTTTTTTTTCTCGATCAAATCGTCGTCGTGTGTTCCAGAACAGAATCGGTACCACATGTCAGAAAGTGTCACAGATACCGCCTGTATAGACGTTGACGTTATTTGTAATCCTTTGGCAATGAACCTCTGATGGCCCCGGGCCCTTCCCACATCGGTCAGGGTTTGTTTGGCCATATTTCAACCACGCCCGGCCAGTGAGTTGTTCAGCAGGGGAGCCCACCCACAGGACCGGTTCAGATATCACTACCACTCACGTCACCCGCGGCTGTGAATCAAACTCATGGAAGCCGTCTCCAGTAGTGGCAGTGTGGCTGGCCACTGTTTGCACCACCAACCCCACCGCATTTGTATTTGTGGCCAATACAAATGCAAACCTGGTTCCGTGGTTATTAGCTCAGTCGTCTCGTCCCGGCTCCGAGCTTAGTGAACTCTGTTCCTCTGCTGCAGCGCAGCACAGCACGCAGGCACCCAATGACTAACTACGATAATGAGCCAAGAATATGTCCCGCGCGTGACGTCACTCCACGTCGAACAGCCCCCCTCATTAATAATCATGAAGAGGTGACGTCTTCCAAATAGACCTACGCCATTAATATTAATTATCAGGTGACGTTACTCCACATGGAGGGGCGAGGCGCCTCCTCGAGGTAAGGAAACTTCACTCTGGGGCGGCGGCAGGGGCGGGTGTGTTTCTCCTCGTGGTGCTGGGGATACCTGGCGCTCGTGGCCGTGCTCCTGTGGGCCCACCCCTCACGTGACAGCGTGCCACTGCGGTGTCTCCTGGGAACGCTGGGGGGGCAGCTCGACGAAAAGTGGCTTATCATCACGTGGAAATGTATCGCGGTCAAATATTCTTTAAATGTGGAAGGGGGCAAAACCGTAGAACCTGGAGAAAAATCCACGCGACCATGGGGAGAACATGCAAACTTCAAATATACAGGCATCAGGGTAGGGATCGAACCCCCTTCCTCCTGCATGCCAGGCGAGGTGGTTAACATCTCGCCACAGCGGTGTGACGTTAACTTCCTCGCCGACTCGCAAGGATAAGTGTGGTGAAGCACCACCACAACGCAATAAGACTTTTTTTTTATCTTACCTAGAAGCCTTCACGTGTCATATATAGCAACATTTTTACAAAGATATATAGAAAAGACAAATTTTATTAACAGACAAGGCATAGACGAACACAAGAAAACAAGCTGTGCAAGCGGAAGAGACAACGGGTGGAATTATTCTTTGGTACCGAGGCTGTGTTTGAATAACGCGAGCCGGTGAATTTGTGAGTGGGATAAGCCCTGTTTAACTTTAACCCTGTTTAGCTTTAGCCCTGTTAAAGTTTGGCCCAGTTTAACTTTATTAGTCCTGTTTAACTTTAGTCATGTTTAACTGTCACCCTGTTTATCTTTAGCCCTGTTTAACTTTAGTCCTGTTTAACTGTCACCCTGTTTATCTTTAGTCCTGTTTAACTTTAGCCCTGTTTATCTTTAGTCCTGTTTAACTGTCACCCTGTTTATCTTTAGCCCTGTTTAACTTTAGCCCTGTTTAACTTTAGCCCTGTTTAACTTTAGTCATGTTTAACTGTCACCCTGTTTATCTTTAGTCCTGTTTAACTGTAGCCCTGTTTATCTTTAGTCCTGTTTAACTTTAGTCCTGTTTATCTTTAGTCCTGTTTAACTGTCACCCTGTTTATCTTTAGCCCTGTTTAACTTTAGTCCTGTTTAACTTTAGCCCTGTTTATCTTTAGCCCTGTTTATCTTTAGTCCTGTTTATCTTTAGCCCTGTTTAACTGTAGCCCTGTTTAACTTTAGTCTTGTTTAACTGTAGCCCTGTTTAACTTCAGCCCTGTTTAGCTTTCGCGACCCACCACCCATGAGCCCAGGTACAGGAGCCCCAACGCACGGCCGCTTGGAACCGCAAAGAACAGCGTCGCATAAAAGTCGCCGCTATGAAAAAAAGAGCAACTACTCGTGCTACATTTGACGATGCTCGCCGACCCGTTATTCGTCATCCAATGTATTTATTCCAGTAAAACTGCTATCACGTTTAGAACAAATCACACCAACCCAGGCAAGCAATGGTTCCCGCCATTCACACCGATAGCGGATTTATGGGCGCGATTGTTTGGCCGTCTACTTTGTTATTGTTTACAGTTTGTTCCGTCCTGTTCACTCCATTGCGCAACATGTATCATTTGTAACGCACGTCTCACGGGCACAACTCGATTTTATATAATTGACGATCATTCCCGCAATTAGCCCTGGATGGCAGTCACTTAATAACGGACAGTGAAAGTCAAAGGCAGTCGCTTTTGTATAACAATCGTGGGTCTACGACCTGACACCCACCTTCCGGTAAACTTCTACAAAAGTGAAGATAATTCAAGTGAGCAATGATGCAGACTCTCTCCACCTCACTTTGAGAAGGTGGGAGGCACGGAAAAAGGAACGTGGAGTGAGCGTTCCATCTCCTTCTCTGCTGTCCTCACCGCCTCCTCTCCCACTCTCCCTACATCCTCTTTACCTCTCGCCGACTCCCCCCCCCCCCCCACCTCTTTCTCCAACGGTCTCCGCTGGGGCGGCTCAGCTGGCCGTGACGCCGCGTTCGCCCGCGCGTGCCACCAAGCCGTTGACGTATGCGTTTCCGCGCTCCGCCACCTCCTGCTTGAGGCCCGCGAGCGCACGCGCCACCTCGTCCGCCGCCATCGAGTCCAGCGGCAGGGCCTTCACCTTGTCCAGGAAGTCGCGCACGATTTGCTCGCCCTCCTGTGTGATTACGGGGGCGGGGACCAGGGGGATCGACACCGGGGGGGGGGGGGGGGGGGAGGGTTGAGTCTGCGAGCGAGCCAGTGAAGCGATCAAACGGTCGTAGCGGATGAATGAGTGGGCGAGGGGCAACAGGGGCCAGGTGGGCGAGAGGGTGGGGAGTGTGGGCAAGTGAGCGAGAGGTCGAGTGAGTGAGAGTGGGTGGGTGGGCGATAGGGCCCAGTGATTGGGGCGAATAGGTGGAGGGGTAATGGGCGTTTGGGTCAAATTGGCAAGCCAAGCAAGTGAGTGGGGCGCTCAAACGAGCAAGTGAATTGAATAAGCAGTCGAATAACGGGGGGTGAGCAAATGTTCAAACGGGAGGGCGAGCAAGGGCGAGTGACTGAGCGGTTTGAACGGGTGGGTGGGTGAGCGTTGGCAAAAAGCATTGACCAAGCACGTATAATGAACTTCTTTCGCACCGTACGTAGCCAACCGTGAAAGTCAAAGGCAGTCGATTTTAATCGGTGAACTGTTGCACACGGTACCTATTCAGCAGCGTCTCCGGCACGGCGATGATGAACAAACCCCCCCTCCCCATGCCCCCCGACTCCCCTTACCTCTCGCTCGGAGCGGAGTTTCTTGACGGCTGGTTCTCCGTCCACGTCCGACGCGACATCCAGGGCCTGGAACTCCTCTAGCTCCAGGGCCTTGCGCCGCGCGCTCTCCACGACGTGCGGCGGGAAGTGAGCCAACTCCGCCACGTGAATCCCAAAACTCTGGTCGCACACGCCTACACCGCAACCGGGGTGAGGGGTCAGAGGTTAAACGGTGCGCAGCTCAGGATTTATAATTTCGAATGCGAGCCGCTCAAATCATCGTTGGGGTGGGGGGGGGGTTGACTCGTGCCATAATCCCTCCGCGGTCAATAAAATAGCTACCACTGTGTGGCGAAGTCACCGATAGTGCCCTATCGAGGGATATACCCACGTCATCGGAATGTGGAATTTCCACCAATGGCTCAGGGCTGTCAGGAGGAGATGAACACCTACTGGCTTGACGCTCAATCGAGCAGGAAATCACTTCCGACTTAAAAACCAAAGCGACAAATCAACAAACCGCGTCCACCGCCCGCCCCAACCTCCGCTGCCACCCTGCCCCCGCGGCGGCTCACCCTTGCGCACGCGGTAGAGCATGGTGAGGGTCTGGTGCGAGGTGAGCGCCGTCACGTGCAGGTTGGACACGCTGGGCACGTGGCCGGCGAGCGCCGTCAGCTCGTGGAAGTGCGTGGCGAAGAGGCAGAGGGCACGCAGGCGCGTGGCCACGTGCTCCGAGATGGCCCACGCCAGCCCAAAGCCGTCGTAGGTCGACGTCCCGCGGCCCAGCTCGTCAATGATCACCAGCGAGTTCTCCGTGGCCGACCTGGCGAGCGAGACGGAGACATATGAACACGTAGATCACCAGTGTTGGAACCGACTGTGCAGAGGGGGGAGCAAGTGCGGTAACTCCTCTCCTAACGCGTCATGTTCACACGAGTTTTCGCTAGAACACGGTTCTTTAATTCGGGAACACTTTCTACGCAATGCGGAACGGCCACCGTTTTCCGGTGCTTTCTGAGCGGCCGACGAAGAACTACTTTCTTGAACTGCGCGGTTGAGTGGAATGTTTAACAGTGTGTGGCAGCGTACCCTCATCTCAGTTTCTGTCCTGCCATGGGACGACTGCAGGCTGAATTTACAGTTCGCAAACGTCGTTCAGGAGCAGCAATCCCCCGCATAACGCGGCACTTTTCAGGAACGCTTCTTGCGTGTTAAAACGAGGGAACTGCTGTACTCTTAAGCGAGTGCGTATTGAGGCCGGAACTGTGCGCGAAGGAGTACGAGGTGACCGAAGGTTTGCAGAGTACAAGGGGGATGGGTGGGATGGGTGGCATGGGTGAGGAGGAAGTGAGTGAGGAGAGCGAGGTGAGTCAGGTGAGTGAGCTGGGTGATGTCGAAGTGGGTTAGGTGGCGAAGGTGCGACATCTTGGGAGCTGGTACCCCAGGGCTTGGCCGTGGGCTGTTATTGGGCGGGTATGGACGAGCTATTCTTTGCGGCATCACAGAGGATGTAGAAGTTTCTTATATTTTGTATCGATCTTCACATTCCTCGAAAAAACCGGACATCACTGTTTGACTGACTGATGCATCAATCGCCTGACTTAACTGCTAAATTGCCTTTTGCTGATCAACTGACTAACCAATTGATTGATCAACCCTCCCACCCCCACCCCTAAAAGCCCCCGCCCCCATACCGGAGGATGGCGGACGTCTCGAGCATCTCAGCCATGAAGGTGGAGACTCCACGGAGCTGGCTGTCGCCGGCGCCGACGCGCGCCAGGATGCAGTCGACGACGCTGACGCTCGCCTCGTCGCACGGCACGAAGCAGCCCATCTGCGCCATGAGCACGATCACCCCCGTCTGCCGGATGAACGTCGACTTGCCGCCCATGTTGGGGCCTGGGCGAGCGACGAGCGCGTCGCGTGTGCGCGTGTAAGAAAACACACATGCGGGTGGTGAACGTTGGACGCATCTCCAACAACGACGCAACGATGTGACGGACGCATCGCAGCACATGGGCACGCCACGACAAAACGTCACGACGCCACACGACACGGTGACACCGAATACGATGACAACACCACAACGACACAAAACCGCTAACGGCGCAACGCATCACCGCGGCAACGACAACATCAAATAACGCGACGGTCACGACGCTCCGCCACAACGCAACCGACACGGACGACGGCGCGCGTCGCACCGGTGATGATGTGGAAGGTGGTGCCGGCGCGGTGGAAGGCGACGTCGTTGGGGATGAAGGCGACGTCGTCCTGGGCCTCGAGGCAAGGGTGCCGCGCCCCCTTGAGCACCAGGTCACCGCCGGGCGGCGACAGACGCGGGCGCACGTATGCCACGGGGGCCGAGTGCGACACCAGCGCCAGGCTCGTCAGCACGTCCAGCCGCGCCACCACGTCGCTCAGCAACTGCATGGGCTCCGTGTAGCCTGGCAAAGCCGGCGGGTGGTAGCGGGGGAGTGGTTGGGATAGCAGGTAGGGCAGTGCGTGGGATAGTGGGTAGGATAGGTGGGGTAATGAGTGGGATAGTGGAATGAGTGATGGTGAGAGTGGGAATGTGTGATGGTAGGAGAGTTGGGATGAGTGATGGTGGGATAGTGGGTACAACAGGGGGTAGGATAGGTGGGATAATGAGTGGGATGAGTGATGGTGGGTACAACAGTGAAATAGGATATGTGGGATAATCGAGAGGGAGAAAGCATCAATTTCACCATGATATGAAATGCTGACGATACGTCAAGGCTGATAAAGTGAAAGACAAAAAAACACGACGGTTATGGTAGAAAATCACGGTGATGACAATGATGGTGGGGGTGGTGGTGACGACGAGGGGCCGAGTTTGAGCAGCGGCGCCACCGCTCACCGGCGGAGATGTTGATGATCTCGACGACGATGGCCTTCTGCGTCTCCTGGTAGTCGTCGCGGCAGCGCACGTACTCCTCGTTCAGCGCGCTCAGCTTGCTGCGGGCAGCGACACGGCCACTCGGTGATGGTGACAGACACAGCGACACGGCATCGGTGACTCGGTGACACAATGACAGCACCAGTGACGGCAACGGTGACTGATGATTACACAATGACAGCAACTGTGACACAGTAAATAGTGACGCAGTAAGTGACGGTTACACAGCAAGGTTGGCACAGCAAAATCAAGTATTTGTTACATAATCCCGTCAACGGCGACGCCTTCTGGGAGTGCATCATTCCAACACGGGCAAACTCTGGAGCCGTTTAGACATACAGTGTCTCATCAGCAAAGTCGGGCTCGCTTGAAGCCATGCTGGCGAGCTGCGACCAGGTGGTGTTAATAGCAAACCTTGTGGTCATGGGAAATGTAAAAAAAAAAATTCAAGTGGATGGACAAATCTATAAAAGGGAGGCAGACGTATCGCCCGCTCATGTGTCGTTCCTCACATTCTCCGCAACGGCGCTCGCGATTATCTTCAGTTGGCCACTGGAAGCGTTCACGAAAACGTTACAACACAAACGCGCACGCTCTGCCTCGAACCCAGCGACCTCTGCCTCGAACCCTGTGACCTCTGCCTCGAACTCAGCGACCTCTGCCTCGAACCCAGCGTCGAACCCAGCGTCGAACCCAGCGTCGAACTCAGCGTCGAACGCAGCGTCGAACCCAGCAACCTCTGCCTCGAACCCAGCGACCTCTGCCTCGAAGCCAGCGACCTCTGCCTCAAACCCAGCGACCTCTGCCTCGAACCCAGCAACCTCTGCCTCGAACCCAGCGACCTCTGCCTCGAACCCAGCGACCTCTGCCTCGAACCCAGCGACCTCTGCCTCGAACCCAGCGACCTCTGCCTCGAACCCAGCGACCTCTGCGTCGAACCCAGCGACCTCTGCCTCGAACCCAGCGACCTCTGCCTCGAACCCAGCGACCTCTGCCTCGAACCCAGCGACCTCTGCCTCGAACCCAGCAACCTCTGCCTCGAACCCAGCGACCTCTGCGTCGAACCCAGCGACCTCTGCGTCGAACCCAGCGACCTCTGCCTCGAACCCAGCGACCTCTGCCTCGAACCCAGCGACCTCTGCCTCGAACCCAGCACGCTCTGCCTCGAACCCAGCGACCCCTGCGTCGAACCCAGCGACCTCTGCGGCGAACCCAGCGACCTCTGCCTCGAACCCAGCGACCTCTGCGTCGAACCCAGCGACCTCTGCCTCGAACCCAGCGACCTCTGCCTCGAACCCAGCACGCTCTGCCTCGAACCCAGCGACCTCTGCCTCGAACCCAGCGAGCTCTACCTCGAACCCAGCGAGCTCTACCTCAAACCCAGCGAGCTCTACCTCGAACCCAGCGACCTCTGCCTCGAACCCAGCACGCTCTGCCTCGAACCCAGCGACCTCTGCCTCGAACCCAGCGAGCTCTACCTCGAACCCAGCGAGCTCTACCTCGAACCCAGCGAGCGAGCAGGCAGGGGAGGGGGGGACGGCGGCACCTGTTGGTGAAGCGCACTCCGTTCTTCTGCGAGTCGATGGTCGAGTACTTCTTGTTGTTGCGCAGCGCCTTCTCGTCCTTGCTCGTCACGCGGAAGTAGAAGCCGAGCTGCGCGTTCGAGTCCAGCTTCACCGTCTTGCCGGCCTCCAGACCTACGGCAAGAGACGACGACCAAAGAAAAATCACGCAGACGGTAAAGATTCTCCCCCCCCGCCCCACTCCCCGTAGAGCCTCGGACAGACGTTCGGGGGACAAGTGCTGTTAGCAAGCAACCAATCGGACGCCGGCTCGGCGCACGAGGCGAGCCTGGTGGTGTGGCCAACAGCACCACGCCCGGCCTGCCTTCGTCTCCCCCAATGCTGCGGTTATACACACCGCACGAGGCCAAGTCGACCTAGGGGAGGCCGAGGACCGGTTCAGATTATTCGTAATGTTGGACTGAGCGGGGATTTGAACCCGGGTCATCGGGTTCGGTGCACGGTGCGAGCTCACCATTACGCCACCCTCTCCCCACCGAAAGCCACACTCGCGCATGCGCGCAGATGTACACGTCACGTACATGATACCAACACGGGCACGAGAATCAATGCTTCGAGACGTGAAGCTGAGAGAGCACAATCGGGATAACGTTTTGGGGCAAGGACAAGTATTATTATTGTAAACACATGTTGATATATCACGATCTCACATACGTGCAAGGACAAATCATCAATGTGTACATGTGTGCGTACGCGTGTTTGTGCCTGCGCGCATTTGATCGTGCAAACGTCTACATGCTCGCGTGCGTGCGAGCGTATATACACGCACGTGTGTGTACGTGCGTGACGGACCGAGGTCCCGTGCAGTGGAGCTCAGCGCCTTGTCCATGTCTCGCTCCAGCTCGTTCATGCGACTCCGCAGCTCCTCCAGGTTGGGATCGAAGGTCGACTTCACGAGGAACTCATGGTTCTCCACCTGCACAGACAAGAGGATGAGGGGGATGGGGTTGAGCTGAGACCTCGTGCTCTCGCGCTCGCTCACCGCAAGAGACAAACTCAAACAAAGAGACGCTGCAAATAAATTCACCTCTTCCCACCTCGATTGCCCAGGCGATTTAACGGAACTGTCGCGATCCGGGGTCACAGTTCCTATTCAAGATTCGTTGCTCTCTTGTACCGCTTGTTAATTGTCATCCGGATGCCTCTGTACCTCCTTGATTATACCGTGTGTACCGGTCTCATCTGCACTCTTCTGTCCTGGCTTTGTTGGGTGATGTCGTGATGTCTTTCCTTTCTGTCTCATTTGTACTCGTCTCTACCGTCCCGTTTGTCCCACCCGTAGTTGCTCGCTCGTCCCTGTCTCACCCGTTCCGCGCGTTGCAACCGTTACCCTCGGCGGATAAACGTGCGTCCACTTTGCGCGCATCGAACAAAAATTACAGATCTTTGAATCGCACGATCCTATCGGACGCAAGCGTCGCCGGGCACGGGAATGAATTTTAAATCGCCAAGCCGTCGCAAGCGGGCACAAGCACCTGCTCCATGTCCAGCGTCGTCTCGATCATCTCCTGGAACTTGGAGAAGTCATTCTCCAGCTCCAGCAGCGGCTGCACAAACAGCTCCTCCAGCAGGGCCTGGCGAGGGCCTGTCAGCGCACGCACGCGAAGACCGAAATCCCCCTGCGGCCTTAATAGGACTGTTGGGCCCAAACGCTGTTAGCGAGTAGCACCTATGAAGGTCAGAACGGCACACGAGAGGGTGGGTTCGCCAGAACCACGCCCGGCCGCTTTTGTCTCCCCAGCCGCGGATGTTTACACACCGCACCAGGTACTCATTTTAGGCTGAGTCGACCTAGGGGAGGCCCAGGACCATATCAGATACTTATCATCACTGGTGTTGGCTGTGAGCAGGAATCGAATTCGCGTCGCTGGGTTCGTATCCCAGCGCGCTAACCACTGCGCTATGGCTCCACCACTGCTCCCCCACACACAAAGATCCCCCATGTAGCCTGTAACAGACCGTTGGGGCAAGTGCTGTCAGCGAGTAGCACCGATGAAGGCCGGCACAGCACACGAGGGGGTGATGTGGCCAGCACCACTTACCCCACACCTATGATAAGCACGGTTGGCTACGTACGGTGCGAAAAAAGTTCAACACACACGCACGCACGCTCGCACGAGCACGCACCCTGGTGGCGCTGCAGGGCGCCGACGAGGGTGGGCAGCAGGCCCGCCGCCTGGTACACGCGGTGGCAGTCCTGCAGCGTGGCGGCGCGCCGCTGGAAGCGCTTCGACAGGCGGCCCAGGTCCGGGAAGCGGCGCAGCAGCTCCTCCTGCAGCGCCTGGCGCAGGTCCGGGTCGTCCACCAGCGACTCCACCACGTCCAGCCTGCACGGCACGCAGGGCACGCACGGCAGAGCCGTTCCAGGGGTGGCAGAGCGGCTCCCGACATCGGAGCGCCGAGCCGGCACCGCGGAGATCCGGGGTTCTGTTCCGCGATTAAACCGCCTGCCTCAAGCGCAGCGAGTTGATGGTCTCGGCACGGTCACCAGCGACTCGCACAGAGACCCATAGACTCGCACATAGACCCATAGACTTGCACAGAGACCCATAGACTCGCACAGAGACCCACAGACTCGCACAGAGACCCACAGACTCGCACAGAGACTCAGACTCGCACAGAGATCTATAGACTCGCACAGAGATCTATAGACTTGCACAGAGACCCATAGACTCGCACAGAGACCCATAGACTCGCACAGAGACCCATAGACTTGCACAGAGACCCATAGACTCGCACAGAGACCCATAGACTTGCACAGAGACCCATAGACTCGCACAGAGACCCACAGACTCGCACATAGACCCATAGACGTACACAGAGACCCATAGACTCGCACATAGACCCATAGACTTGCACAGAGACCCATAGACTCGCACAGAGACCCACAGACTCGCACAGAGACCCATAGACTCGCACAGAGATCTATAGACTTGCACAGAGACCCATAGCCTGACACAGAGACCCATAGACTCGCACAGAGACCCATAGACTCGCACAGAGACCCATAGACTTGCACAGAGACCCATAGACACGCACAGAGACCCATAGACTTGCACAGAGAGCCATAGACTCGCACAGAGACCCACAGACTCGCACAGAGACCCATAGACTCGCACAGAGATCTATAGACTTGCACAGAGACCCATAGCCTGACACAGAGACCCATAGACTCGCACAGAGACCCATAGACTCGCACAGAGACCCATAGACTTGCACAGAGACCCATAGACTCGCACAGAGACCCATAGACTTGCACAGAGACCCATAGACTCGCACAGAGACCCATAGACTTGCACAGAGACCCATAGACTGACACAGTTGTGATTAAACCGGGTTCTCAAGTTTAACATGTTGATGGTCTCGGCTAGGTCACAACCGCAACAAAAACCCACGGGGTTCTGCACTTAATTTTGCCTAAATTCCAGCTTTGAACTGCCGTGCCGGGGGATGGAGTCGAACCGGCGACCCCTGAATTGCAAGTCCGGTAGCGCCGACCATTCCACCGCGGCAGCGCGGCTTGCCATGTTGAAGGCGGAGAGGGGGCAAGTCAGACGTCTCCGAGCAGAGTCAGCGGAGGACCGTTGCGCCAAACGTGTCACACACCTCTAGCGACAGCCTTCGCATAAACTGCTCTTGGCTGCCGTACACCGGGGTCTCGACTGATTTGTTTGATCCACGGAGCACGGTGGGGGGGGGGGGGGGGGGCAGAGGTCGCAACAGGGTACCCGATACCCGTACCCCTACCCGATACCCGACTATCCGTACCCGGCCAGGTACTTGTAGTCGGGTATCGGGTAGGGTACGGGTATCCGTTTGCGACCCTGGTGCGGCCGGGTACGGGTATGGGTAAAAAATCAAACCCGTTTGCGACCTCTGGGGGGGGGGGGGGGTCTGACCACGGGGGTTGCGCAGTCCCCTTAGCTCAACCAGCGGTTCTTCACCTTCACAGCAGCCTTGCACACCTTTGGTTCTCAATCGTTAAAAATGTATAATGCTAATAGATTCATAGGGGTTTGATGAAACAAAGTAGTTGTACTTACGTGCCCGTGCTTAATTTGTTTTGATAATTTACCTTTGAAAAAAATCTGGCCACGTCTCGCACCCCCCCCCCCCCCCCCCCCGGGGGCGCGTGCATCCCAGGTTAAGAACCACCGACTTAGAACGTCGACCGCCAACCGGCGTGCGCAAGGCTCTGCCAAATAAGCCAGGTGGCGCCATCAGGCCACACAGCTCGCCGACCCTGGGTAGCAAACGTTCCAGCCGTTCGTCCTTTCATTCAGGCCGATTACGACACCCGACGATGCACGCAAATCGAATCGCACGTGCGTAAAGCGACGACGTGTGCTTTGACGCGAGGCGCGTATCCCCGATGACACGCCGGCGTTTCCCTCGGTCCTGACAGCATGTGGGACAGAATGCAAGGGGCGGCACAGACGGAACGCGAGAGACAGGACGACACGCGGCGAGCCGGCCGCAAAACCCTACGCGCGCTTTTGAAGCGACGATTCGTGACCCCCCAAGTTGCATGCCTGCTGACATTAGCAGAGAGAGGCTGCTAATGTCAGAAAAGGCAAAGGTCCCCCCACGCCCCGTTTAGCCTTAACAAACTGTTGGGGCGACTGTTGTTGGTGAACACCTATGAGGCTACCACCGGCATACCCTGGTGTGCTGCGCTGAAGCCCAACTATTTTAATTAAGCAGGCAAATGCCTACTGCACTATGAGCTCGTTTTCAGAGGTGACCTGGCCCCACATGATGGCTCATCGAGCATCCGAATCATCAAATCGCACGTTGATTCTAAATATGGAAGGCAAAACTGGAGAAACCCGGAGAGAAATCCACGCGGCCACCTCGGTGGGAGAGCGAGAGAGAAGACATGTGGACACCACGCATCGTCACGCATCGTCAGGGTCCCGGTCCTAACCTACGACCCTCCCTGCGTACCAGGCGACAGAGACAACATCTTGGCCACCACGGCGTCCCATAGGGGTGGTGGGTGTGGCCGGCACCACGTCCTGGCCGCCTTTATGTGCGACGATATTTACACGAAGCACCACGTACCCATTTGAGACCGAGTTGACTGAGGGGAGGCCTCGGACCGATTCAGATAACCGTCACTGGCGGTGACCTTGAGCGGGAATTGAACTCTGGTCGCCAGGTTCATGGTGCGGCGCGCTAAGCCACTACGCGACAACAGCAGACAAGACAGACGCACTGAGCAACACAAACATAGGGTGCTTGTGTAACTATCATACACAAGGACATTCTTGCCAGTCCAACCACAACAAGATGACGTCAACGACGATGACAACAACACCGACGACCCCCAGGGGTATCCGGGGCAGCACTAACAAATTGACCCCGCTCCCAGAAGGACATGTGGTTGATTGGGATGTGTATAAAAGCAGTGATTTTTAATGCGGAGGCTTCGACGATGTGAACGTCTCTTTTGTTACAAAAGACCGGGCGGCTGCACGGCGCACGATGTTTGAAAAAACAAGATGAAGTGGAGACCGGGTGGGTCAGAGGTCAGAGAGCTGGACCGAAACTTGCCGAGAACTTGGGTTCGAATACAGGCGGGCGGCACAGATCCATTGTCGTACCCCGCTCACCCTCCACCGTGCGTAAAGAAGAAAAATTACACTCAGTGGACAAGAAAGGGCAACGCTTGCTCCGTGAGAGATTTCCAAACGAGATGACGCCAAAAAGGCGCGATAAAAAAAAACTTGGTAAGAACAGGGGGGAAAAAAAGGCATCGTGAAGAAGCAGCGGAGGAGACGGCTTTCAGTTCCTCACTCTGTTAGTCGGGGTGGGCGCGTGAGGGAGAAGTGGCGAGCTTGGGCGCGCAGTCACGACATCCATAGAAGAGGGGGACCACGATGGATCCTTCCCCGACTGTGTCCAAGAAACCTTTCCTTTCGCCCGTGTCTGTCCTTCCAACCGTTTTTTTTTTGTTTTACAAATAGCGGCATTCATGCAAATCCGCTTCTCAAAACCACTGCCGAATCTGAAGCATGCACGCAGGCTTCGCAAAGAGGCTCGGGAAGAAAGCCGTCAGAACCGGTTGCAGCGATTGCCCGAGCTCTGTGATCCTATATTGTTGGGATGTTTGTGTGTCCAGTCTGCCCGTGTGTGCTTGTACATCTGAAGACACTGCTCACGTTTCCAGGACACCCTACAAAACCCAACAAACCAATCACTCACCTGCACAGCTTTACCAACACCAGTACAAAATTCAGCGCACACGGCTCACAATCACCAATACAAACAAAACTGAGACATGCGCTCGAAGGCACTCGCCCGTGTTAGAACGCGGGGCATCCCGTCGCGTCCGTGCGTTCTGCATTTGTAAACTCAACTCTCCTTACAAAATGGAGGCCGCCTCCATGCACGGGGAATCGGCAGCTTTTTTGCCCCGTGGCGTTTGAACGCAAATCCAACGCTCGCGACCACGCACCAAGCCGCGGCCGTGTGACGCGGGAGTCGAAATCGCAGCGGTTCCGGTGGACGGGTGGGTGGTGGGTAAGCGGGTAGCTGTTGTGGTTGGTGTGGCGCGGGGGGGGGGGCGAACTCGAGACTCGCTTCGCTGGGTTCTCGCTAAGCCCCACTGGCGTCGCCGTCGCGACCGCCGCGTTGTTTCTTTACTGTCGCTGACCGCGGTAGTGCCCCGGATTATCATCGTCCGTGAAGGGACACTCTTAAACTAAACTTAAACAATTTTTTTAATTTAACCAGGTAAGGCCAACCGAGCAATATAGCTCAACGAAGGGGGCTCATCATGTCGACATTTATAGCAGCCAAATACTCGAAATGCACGGAGGACCTGAAGAAAGATCTACGCAGGCCAAGGGGAGAGAGACAATTTTCGCTACTGCTTACTACAGTCACGCCCCCCCACTATAATCGTCCGCGATTAGATGGAATCCGACACACGTGGATTGTTTCTACTATTTCCTAGTTCTTTTTACCAGGTAAGGCACGCTGAGCTACACAGCTCTTTTCAAAAGCGACCTAGACACAAATGGTAGCTCAACGGAAGTGGCTCATCACGTGGACATTTTTAGTAGCCAAATACTCTAAACGCGTGTTTCTAAACGTGGAGGGAAAAACCGGGAGACTCATTCGCTGCCTGCCAAAATGCACCTGTTTGACAAAATATAACAAAACCTGTTGTTTTTTGTAAATTTGTATCCTGTCTGCAAGCAGTTGCAAACAGTGTTTTTTCAACGACGGATTATAAGTTCGTTGCTAACCGTGTCGATCTTTACAATTCAAGCAAAGCTGATGAGACGTTGCATTTCGAAACCGGTTCAGGGTTTTGCAAGTCTTGAAGCAATGCTGCCGAATTTTCACACTCCCAGAAGGCCGTGAGTGCAGCTGATGGGTTGTGTAAGACATGTACTTTAGTTTTTTTCATGTGGAGAGACGAATTATACGTGAAGGAGGTACACGCCGTCTGCTTATTTACTGTGTTACAATTTAAAAAATAGAATCAAAGTGAAAAAGACAAAAAAAGTGAACTGGAAACGCGGTTACGAGATGTCGTGATAGTTTCGTGTGAACGCACCGGGGATGAGAACCGAACCCATCCTTGTCCCCGTGAGTGGCGTGTAGCCCCCGGGCTGTTTTGGGGGGGCAGGTGGTGGCGGTGGGGGGCAGCACGGTTGTTTTCGAGTTCTTTTACTTGGCTAACCGATCAGACCGGTCCGCCTGGTTTTCATACGGCTCACCGCGCACGCCGCCCACACAACAACTGTCACAACGACACCCAAGCAGCACCCATCACCACCCAACAACCTTCACAACCACGCGGAACCAACCACCACAACCACACCCACGCGGAACCCACCACCACCCAACAACCTTCACAACCGCGCGGCACCCACCACCACCACACCCACGCGGCATCCACCACAACCACACCCACGCGGAATCCACCACAGCACAACAACCACCACAACCACGTGGAACCAACCACCACAGCCACACCCACGTGGAACCCATCACCACCACAGCACAACAACCACCACAACCACACCCACGCGTAACCCACCACCACCACAGCACAACAACCACCACAACCACACCCACGTGGAACCCATCACTACCACAAGCACAACAACCACCACAACTGCACCCACGCTGAATAATTGACGCGACGGTGTTTTTAAGCGTTCGCAGCGAGCGCCCCTGGGTTGCCACCGCGGGGCGTTGATCGTCACGGCTGGCGACGGTCGAGTGACGTTTGGCGGGGGGGGGGCGGTGGCCCTCAGAGACGGAGATCACAGAGCAGGGCGGCAACAAAAATACGGCAGGGACACTCGTGAACTAAAACTAAACTTCAAACTATCTTCTATTTTACCAGGTAAAGGCCCTACTGAGCTATGTAGATTTTTTTCAGAAGCGACCTGGCTACCACAAATGATAGCTCAGCAAAGTGGCTTTCCGCGTGGAAATTTATCGCAGACAAATACTCTTAAAACGCGTGACGGTGTTTCTAAATGTGGAGGGAGAAAGCCGGAGGACCCGGAGGACCCGGAGAAAAATCCACGCGACCACGGGCAGAGAGACACGGAAACACCAAATTTACAGCAGCAGGCGTCAGGGCTGGGATCAAACCCACGACCTCCTGCGTACCAGGCGAGGTAGTCAACATCTCTCCACTCCACACGCACGGCCAGGGCGCGGCGGTCACGCACGCCTGTGGCCCGGCGCTTTAGAGGCGAGGGTTGGCGGATCGAGTGAAGATTTCAAAACTTCCAGCCGGGGCAGACAGGTGGTATGGGGGAACGCAGTACAGCAAGCGGGTTTCATGAACCCCACTAATGCAGAAGTTTCAGTGTTATCATTTCCCCTGGAATGCGTGGGGGGGGGGGGGATTTTCTCCGGGTCCTCTGGTTTCCTTCCACATGAAGCGAAACGATCGATATTTTTTAACGGAATCACCCAAACATTCCGGCGTAGCAGAGAATTAAAACTGATGGGGTGTCGCATTGAAGACAATTCCTATAAAAGTCTTAATTACATGGCCATTATAACTTCGTAGGTAATAATCCTTCGTGCCAAAATCCCTTGGCACAGACATCATTACCAACATCATCATCATGATCCTGACGATTATCATAGTAATAAAATAAACACGTGCCGTGCATTACAACGCTGTGCAGCAGCAACACCAGCAGCAACTATCGGACTGACGGATGCGGGACACTGTATCAAACACTGTCAGCCTCTGGGCTCGGCAGGGCAACAACAGAGAAGGGAGGGAGGGAGGAGAGAGGCGGAGGCGAGGGGGGAGGAAGGTGGGGGAGGGAGGCGAGAGGGAGGTGAGAGGCAAGAGGGAGGGGGAGGGAGACAAGGGAGGGACACTTAGACCCCTAGGCAAGGATGAGTGGGGAGGGGTAGATTTGATGACAGTGTTCCTGTAGTCTGGTGTCAAACCGTGGATGTTATTGTATAAAAAAAATGTGCCACTTTTCCTGAAATTAGAATTACCTCCAACGTCACACCCCGTCAGCAATGCTGCTTTTCTGCTTACGACCAAATCGCCTGGGAATGCGCCCGGTCTCATCAGACCTCAGAAGCCCAGCCCGGTACGATCCTGGATAGCGCTTGGATCGTCGGTGTCCGCACCACAACAAGGCCGTTGCGAGGGGCTGTCGTGTGCAAGTGCGGGAAAAAAATACAGAAAACCCACTGGTGCACTGTGATGGAGCGCTGCCGCATCTGCGCTCCCCCCCCCCCCCCCGCGTTCACCGACCCAGCACTCGCCAGCGCGGTGAAGTACGGTCAAATAACACCCACGATCCCGCATGGCGTGGGGACGCCCTCATCGAGCGGCGGAATGACGAAGAGCTGGGCATGTACCCGTATGGTGATTTGGATACCTTGGCCGTGGGGTTTGTGGGGTTGTCTTATATCTGCAGAATTTCACCTCCCCGGCCAAATACCCGCTCGAGATCAGGAATCGGAACGGATGTTAAACGCGGAATGAGGACGGTCGTGAGAGGTGTGGGAAGGATGGAGGATTGTCAGGGGGGAGGGGGAGGATTGGCGGGGGGGGGGGGGGATAGGGGGGTGTGGTGAGGACAGGAAGGATTGGAGGGGGCGTCATTGTGATGCTTGTGGGGGGGGGACTTGGGGTGAAGTCACGTGACTCTCCCGCCATTGAGCGCGGCGTCAAGTGCTGGACAAGTTGTATCACGCGTGTACGCACGCCTGTGCCGGCAAACCAGCAAAAAACGTGCGCGTAAGCGTACGTGGATGCAAATACATATGCGCGTGCATGCAAAACCACACAAATACAAAGATCCCCCGTATAGCCCTTAAAATACTGTACACAGCGCAGCGCGCTAACCGCTACATTCCTCCCCTGTGTATTAATTATTATGATTATTATTATGATTTAGCGTTTGTCTACCCAGGGAAGCATCACCAAGACTATTTTGTAGGAGGGTCGTGGCAAGTTCTCGTAGTACGGGGCGACGATTGCCACCGAGTTACGCCAATCGAGTAACTTTTCAAATCAGGAACCCTGACGTCGGCGCACAACGGCCGACTCTCGTGAACGACATCACGGGATCTTTACCGTCCACCGTGAAGCGGACAACACGTATCGTTTTGGTTAATACGCGACCGCACAAATAAATTGGGGCGGCCGCTGAATTCCGAACCGTGGACCTCTTCTGCAACGAGCGGGGGAATGCGCCACCGGTCGGGCCACCGCGTCACTGCCCCACCCTCCCCACGTGCCACACCTCTCCTCGATGCGGTTCTGGTCCAGCAGCGGCTGCTTGATCCACTGCGCCAGCAGTCGCTGTCCCTGCGCCGTGCGGCACCGGTTGAGGAGCCCGAACAGCGACTGCGTGCGGCCCCCCTCGTCCGACGAGCCCTGCCGAGGGGTCGCACGAGGTCACGGTGGACGGAGGAGCGGGAGCGGCAGAGGGCGACTCGTGACCTCACTCACATCTGTATTCGCTCGCGCACTCACCCACCCGCTCACTTCCATCCAACTCGTTGTCTCACTCGGCTCTCCCCTATCACCAAAAGGTCCACCCCCTCCGTGTAACCACGATGATTGCCCCAAGAGCTTGCTCTCATCAAGTCGTGCTCGCTCACTCAGCCAGCCGCTCGCTCACCCTCATCTGCATTCACTCACTCGCCCGCTCACTCTCAACTATTGGCCCCACGGTGGTGAGATGTTAACTGCCTCGCCTAGTATACAGGAGGTCGTGGGCTCGAACCCAACCCTGACACCTGTATATTTGGAGTTTTATGTTCTCCCCATGGTCATGTGGATTTTTCTCCGGGTCCTCTGGTTTTTCCCGCCACATTTATAAACATCACGCATTTAGAATATTTGGCTGCTCTAAATTTCCAGGTGATTAGCCACTTCGTTGAGCCATCATGTGTGGCCAGGTCGCGTCTGAAAAAATACCTACATAGCTCAGTGGGCCTTACCTGGTAAAATAATAGTTTCGTTTTAGTTTCGTTCATTCACTTTCTCACTCGCCCCTCCCCTCCGTTGCTCGCTCACACTCCCTCTCGCCGAGTCACTCTCTCTTGCTTCCCTATTTATCATCTCACTCACTCTCTCCTCTCTCATTCGCCGCCCCCCCCACACCGCCACTCTCTCTCCCGCTCTCATGCTCTGCCTCTACCGCACCCGCTCTCTCCGCACTCAACTTCCCGTCTCGCTTGCGCTCTCGCCCTCTGACCTGGAAGAGGTTGAGGGCGCGCACGGCGGCGCTATCCAGGCGCACGTACTGGCCCAGGTCGAAGGTGCTCAGCTCAAACTGGCCGAAGCCCGACTCGTCGGACGTCAGCTCCAGGTACTTGACAAGGGCGGCGAGCGACGACATTGCTACCTGGGTCACGGCGAGGAGTTGGATGTGGGGGGTGGGCAGGGGGGGGCGGAGGATGAGGGTGGTGCGGACGAGGATGGAGAGAATGGAGAGGATGCAAAGGATGATGATGATACAGAATGATATGGATGAGCAGGGCAATGAGGAGAATGAGGATAAGGATGGGGATGACGAGTGGTCGGGGACGATCAGTCGTCGAGTGGCTCAATGGCCGTGTTCGATACACGAGCCGGCACCACGGAGCCCGTGGGTTTGAACCCGCCTGTCGTTTTTTTAATCAATCTTTTGGGAAACCCTTTTGATCAATGTGGCCACATTTATCTATGGCAAGTCCCAAAACGGACTTGAAGAAAGTAGCTGCGGGTCTCCCTCGACGACAAGACAGACACGGAGCGAACGCGGTCGCGTTTTAACAACTCCAGGTCGCTCGCCACGCGGAGAGAACCGACCAACAAACTCTCAGCGCCCACGACGCCGCCAGCTACTCGTGTACTTCCGATTTTCCCGCACCTCCGATTAGCATGGTTGACTACGTACGGTGTGAAAGAAGTTCAACGTTTAGACAAACCCATGCACACACGTACTTGCTTCTCCATCTCGGACAGCGCGGCGCTGTTGGCCTGCTCGCCCTTGCGCGTCTTGAGCAGGCGATTGAGGTCCTGGACGATGTCCTTGGAGGAAAACTCCACCTTCTTCCTGTCGGTGATGAGCAGCCCGCTCCGCTGCACCACCTGTCAGCGATCGGACGCACGGACGACGCTCGCGTTAACTGCGGCCTACTTATCGAGTCGCTTCGGCACCTGCGATAAAGCGTACGGCGATTCGATTTTATCGCAATCGTCAACATCATCGTCAACACCGTCGTCGTCCTCAGCCATGATCAGTCCACTGCTGGATGAAGACTTCCCCAAGGTGCCGCCACCTCTCACACGGCACATTCTTGACCACCGGCCATCGCCCCTACGAGCAACGCATCCTGCCCAAGCCCACCGACTACTCCAGTTTCTAGCAGTCAAACAAAATCTTGTTTTTTGTTCCATTTGTCGCATTTATTTTCATTTTCATTGTCCAATGTCCATGTTTCCGATCGATGTCAAATTGACTGGTTGCAAACGTTCTTCTTCAGGCCAATTGAAGTGGAGCATGCTTGGAATTACACTGAGAGACAAATAGAGGAGCACATGGATGAGAGGAGGATAGTAAATGATTATCCCCACCTGACACCACGACACCCCCGTCCCAACCACGCTCCACCAGGTACCACCCCCATCTACCCACCTCCCTCCACTCCCCCACACACACTCCACCACGTGCCACCCCCATCCACCCAACACGTACCACTCCACCACCACTTGCCTCCCCCACCTCCCCCCGCCCCCCTCACCCACACACACCACTCCACCACCACACTCCGCCACGTACCACCCCAACCGCACACCCTCCAATACACTCCACCACGTGCCACCCCCATCCACCCAACACGTTACCACCCCCATCCACCCAACACGCACCACTCCACCACCACGTGCCTCCCCCCGCCCCCCTCACCCACACCCACCTGCCGCAGCTTCCCGGCGTCGGCCTGCGCCTCCCCCGCGGGCAGCACGCACTCCTTGGGCCCCAGCTGCACGAGCAGCGCCTCCAGGTTGGAGAACTGGTCGTTGTCGGGGAACTCGCACACGCACAGCCGGCGCAGCGTGGTGTCGGCGAAGCCGACGCCCACCACGCGCTGGGCGTCGGCGCCGCCACTGCCGCTGGCCGCGGCGGCGGCCGTCCCGCCGGCGCCGACGCCACAAGCCAAGCCCAGCTTGACGGCCACGACGCCGGCGGAGGACGACATGTCCACGTTACCGAAGAGGATGTCCTCGAACTGCGCCAGGTTTCCCGGAGATGCCTGCGATGGGGCAACGAGGAGGAGGAGGAGGAAGAGGAAGAAGAGGGGCACGGTCACTGTTGTTATTGGGGGCGCCGACGTGGTCCAGCAGCGGGGCGTTATCAGAATCAGAATATTTATATATACTGGAGAAATGCGATGAGCTAAAAAGCTCTTTTTACAGATGTCCAGTACAACAGCTGGAGCGGCTGCGCAGTGTTTAACACTACCCAATGAGTACGATTTCCAGCTACGGATAACATCTGTGGCGAGCGATATCCGAGACCTCTCCTAGGCCCCGACTACCCCCCAATTTAACCTGCAATGACCATCGTGGCAAAGTATGGTCAAAACAATCTCCACGATCGACACGCATTGGGGGAGGCCTTCATCCGGCAGTGGATTGACACAGAGGGACGTACGGTACCTGGACACGCTTGTCAGACGAGGGGGTTAAACTTGACCAGGGGTAGGCAACCTGCGGCTCCGGAGGCGCATGCGGCTCTTCAATGACTGCTGCTTCGTGGTGATATTTATTAAGGACCACCCTCTCGTAGTCACGTGGCATTGGCGGATTTAGAAAAAGATTATTTTACCGAATTCGAAAAAAAATGCCTTCTAATGTTATTTTGGTTGCTGACCTCTGAACTTGATGAACGGCATCGATGCCTGCCCGCCCTCACCTTGTAGGCGAGCTGCCAGTCGTTGTCGCGCGAGGCCCTTGCCGGCGCGGTTGCGGTACACCTCGACGCGGTACTGCCGCACCAGCAGCAGGTCCCGCACCACCGACTCGAAGTTCATCTTGCTGAGCACCACCGACTCGAGCTTGCGCGAGCCTGCCGAGCGGCAACGCCGACAACGCTTTATCAAACGCTTCGCCGTCTATCAAAAAAATTTGCTAAAATCTAAAAGCTCAGGCTTATTTCGTTTCATTTAGGTGAGGACTCAAAGAGACCGGCTGAGTGTCGTTTGCAAGCGTGACGCTTGGGGGTTGAGCACACAACCCAAAGGGCCAAAATGCCAAGCAGCTAGCAACAAGCAGCACTCTTGAAGGTGTAAATCAGTTGATAGCTTTCTTGAATTGGTCAAGGTTGGGTAAAGAGAGACTATGAGTGGAAATTCCAAGCAGTGCCCGGTGTGAAGCAGAAGGCGCATGAATGAGATGAAATAGGCAGCCTGGTAGACAGTCCTCAACATGTGGTTGAAACCCCAGGCCGCCCTGGCAATTCCTGCAGGTAAATTCTAAACTAAACTATTTTTATATTTACCAGGTAAAGGACCCCTGAGCTATATAGCTCTTTTTCATAAGCGACCTGGCCACGAATGATAGCTCAATTAACTGGCTTATCACGCGGAAATGTACAGCAGCCAAATACTCTAAACGCGTGTTGTCGATTCTAAATGTGGAGGGAAAAACCGGAGGACTGCAGAGAAATCCACGGGGAGAGAGACACGCAAACTCCTAAATGTATTATACATGCATCATCAGGGTCGGGATCGAACCCAAGACCTCCTCCATACCAGGCGAGGTAGTTAACATCTCGCCACAGTCTGGCTGTGTCGGGTGGTGGAGGGTTATGACGCATTAATAATTACGCAATCGAACCCAAAAACCTTTATTAATGGACCCAGAGTCTGTATCACAGTGGACGTTAAAAGATCCGCGCGAGGTTATTCGAAACCCAACAAAGCAGGCCGTGTGTGTGTGTGAGTGGCGATGTTCTGGTTCAAATGTACCACCGTTTTGGGAAATCACCCGTGAGCAGAGGTCGCAACCGGGTACCCGATACCCGTACTCTACCCGATACCCGGCTACCCGTACCCAGCCGGGTACGGGTACCCGTTTTCGACCCTGGTGCGGCCGGGTACGGGTAGGCCGTGAGTCACTGGTGAGTCACCGTTTGTCACTCATTTCGGGTAGGGTATGGGTAGATCGTGAGTCACTGGTGAGTAACTTTTTGTCACTCATTTCCCAACGTCTTGTCTCTTCTCACAATTCAAGTTCCTAGAATCAACCCACCCGCGCCTGCAACATGGCTTCATCCCAGAGGTCGCAATCAGGTACCCGATACCCGTACCCTACCCGTACCCGGCCGGGTAGGGTACGGGTACGGCCGGGTACGGGTACCCGTTTGCGACCCTGGTGCGGCCGGGTACGGGTAAGGAATCAAAACCCGTTTGCGACCTCTGCCCGTGAGTGACTTTATTGGGGAAAACCAAAAGCCACGTGGGTCCACTCGTGCCCAGTTCACGTTGTGCCGCACAGGGACAGCTGCCATTGGGGGGATCCCCGTGGTGAAAACAAATAAAAGTATACACCGATAGACGTTTTGTGACGTTAAGTGGTAAGATATATCATCATCACGACCTAACTTAATAAAGGAGGAGCTGAATGAAAACCGACGAACGAATAACGAAATTTATTCTTGAGTTTGTGAATGACTGAATGAATGGACCGACCACAGGAAGGTGCGAACCAATGAATTATGCGAAACGACTGGCTAAGTGGGACTCGGTGAATGATTTAATTACTTCATGAATAATTGCGTGGACGAATGGCTGCACGGTCGGCCGAAAAAATGCGTGAACAGGAATGAATGCACGAACGGCAATTAATTAATGCACGAACTTAATGAATGCATGAACGACTTAACGAATGCAAACGACTGAATAAATGAACGAACGACTGAATGCACGAAAGACAATTAATTAATGCAGACTTAATTAATTAATGCACGAACGACTGAATGAATGAACGAACGACTGAATGCACGAACGACTGAATGAATGCACGGACTTAATGAATTAATGCACGAACGACTGAATGACTGAACGAACGGCCGAATGCACGAACGATAATGCACGAACTTAATGAATGCATGAGCGACTGAATGAATGCACGAACGACTGAATGACTGAACGAACGGCCGAATGCACGAACGACTGAATGAATGCACGAACGACTGAATGAATGCACGAACGACTGAATGCACGAACGATAATGCACGAACTTAATGAATGCATGAGCGACTGAATGAATGCACGAACGACTGAATGAATGCACGAACGACTGAATGAATGCACGAACGACTGAATGAATGCGTGAATGGCCGAATGAAAACATTCACGACGGGATAACCGAATGAACGACTCGCGTGGACGAGTGGAGGAGCGACTGAACCGGAGGGGGGTGGGGGCAGCAAAATTACTGCACGAATAAGTGAATGAGTGAATGAATGAATGAGTGAATGCACGACTCGAGGTGTGTGTAGTGGTTAGCGCTACGCTGCGCTACGAACCCGGCGACCCGGGTTCGATTCCCGCTCACGGCCAACCCCGATGACGATTATCTAAACCGATCATGGGCCTCCCCTAGGTCAACTCAGCCTCAAATGACTACCTGGTGCGGTGTGCAAACTAAACATCGCCACCGGGGAGACAAAGGCGGCCGGGCGTGTTTGCTAGCCACCCACCCCCCTCGTGTACCGTACCGGCCTTCATAGGTGCTGCTCGCTACCAGCACTTGCGCCCCACCATTCAAAGGCTACACGGGGGGGGATCTTTGTCTTTTTAAATCCATTATATTAAGTTCACTTGCTTGCTTACGACCGTGCAAATCTTTCGGTCGTTTTTTAACCCACTTCCCGTGATCCAATCGAGCTGACATTTTGCACACAGACTCGTTGTGCGAGACAATTAATGTTCGTTAAATTTAATTTCAAAAATTTTACACTTTTTAGGACAAAAACATTATATTTAATTACCAATTGCTTAATGGTGGCAGGCAATCATGTGACCCATAGGTGGCAGCCATCTCAAGCCACAGGACGAGAGGACTCTAGCCGCCGCCACGCATATAAAGGATTTATAGTGAAAAACTTTGTTTTTACGGGTTTATTTTTGTTTGTTGTTGTTGTTGTGTGTGTCGCGACGTACCGGTGCCCAGCATCTTGACGACAGCCGTGGTCTTGAAGACGTCTCGGGAGACGAGGAGAGCGTCGCGGCCGTGGACGGTGTAGAAGTCGAGGCGGTCGAAGAGGCGGACGGTGGCCTCGGCCTTGTCGCCCATCGAGGCGAAGAAGCTCACGAAGCCGTTCTCCTGCGCGGGCTCCAGGCTCAGCTGCTCCTTCGCTTGCACCGCAGACATCTCTTCTTGTTGTTGTTAGTTGTTGATGTTGTTGTTGTTTGTTTGTTATGTTATGAACGGTGCTGTATAGCTGGACTTGTTTCGCGCCGTACGTGGGCAAACGTGCTAATCGGAGGTGCGGGTCGATATTGTTGTTGGTTGTTGTTGTTGCTATTGTTGGTTGTTGTTGTTGATATTGTTGGTTGTTGTTGATACTGTTGGTTGTTGATATTGTTGGTGGTTGTTGTTGAAATTGTTGGTTGTTGTGGTTGATACTGTTGGTTGTTGTTGTTATTGTTGGTTGTTGTTGGTGCTAATATTTTTCCGCTGCTGCTGTTGCTTATGCTGCCGATGTTGTTTTCTTCTGGATGTGGGCTGTTGTCACTTCTTGTCCAACGATGCCGTTACTCGCAACGCTTCTGTTGCCAAGTATTTACTGCTGATGATGATGTTGTTGTTGCTGTTTGCTTTGTGCTCCTGCGTGCAGCTATCGCTGCTGCTGCTGTTGTTTCTAATGAATGCTTCCGGTGCTAAGGATTATAACTGTGCTTTTCTATTGTTGTTGTTGTTGCCGATGGTATTGCTTCTTATAAAAGTGCTGCTGATGATGCTGCTGATGATGAAGATTTTGCTGCCGCTGCTGCGTTTTCCCGCCACGGGAAGAGCCACGCTTTGCAACACGTGTTGTGTTATGCTAATGAGGCCGTGCGGATGTGACGTCACGTTCGACTTATGCACATATTATGTTAATGAGCTATTTCTGGAATGTCATTGGCTGAATATTATGGTAATGTTTGATCTCGTGACGACGTGAATATATTATATCTCTGTTGAGATTATTTCGCACCGGGCTAATCGCAGTTCATTTAGTAAAAAAAAAATTGTTATGTGTTGAATGTATTTATAATATACAGCGCTTTGAGATCCTTGAGGAAAAGCCGCTATACTGATGTAATTATTATTAACAAACTTAGCACGCAACAAAAAGCCGTTATTAAATAAATTAGTTTTCTATTTCGATTTAAAAGTGCGTCGCTCCAGTGGCTCCTCACTAATTGTTAAAAAGCGCGGGAAAGATGACAGCGCCATTTGGTGACGTCATTTGGTGACGTCATTGGGTCAGAGATCACGTGTCCGCGACGACGCGAACGCGGCGGGACTCCTCTACTTACGAACACACGACTTATGAACTCTCCGAGATACGAACAGCCCCCGGTCCTGCACGTCCAGTTCGCCTGTTTCGGAGCGAGAGTCGTGAGTTCAACCGCCTGCGCACTAGACGGTGGCATCTACATCTGCCGAACGTGAAGAAGCAGTGGCATCTACAGAACGTGAAGAACCAGTGACATCTACAGAACGTGAAGAACCAGTGACATCTACAGAACGTGAAGAAACAGTGACATCTACAGAACGTGAAGAACCAGTGACATCTACAGAACGTGAAGAAGCAGTGGCATCTACATCTGCAGAACGTGAAGAACCAGTGACATCTACAGAACGTGAAGAACCAGTGACATCTACAGAACGTGAAGAACCAGTGACATCTACAAAACGTGAAGAACCAGTGACATCTACAGAACGTGAAGAAACAGTGGCATCTACAGAACGTGAAGAAACAGTGGCATCTACATCTGCAACACATGAAGAACCAGTGGCATCTACAGAACGTAAAGAACCAGTGGCATCTACAGAACGTGAAGAAGCAGTGGCATCTACATCTGCAGAACGTGAAGAACCAGTGACATCTACAGAACGTGAAGAACCAGTGACATCTACAGAACGTGAAGAACCAGTGACATCTACAGAACGTGAAGAAACAGTGGCATCTACAGAACGTGAAGAACCAGTGACATCTACAAAACGTGAAGAACCAGTGACATCTACAGAACGTGAAGAACCAGTGACATCTACAGAACGTGAAGAACCAGTGACATCTACAGAACGTGAAGAACCAGTGACATCTACAAAACGTGAAGAACCAGTGACATCTACAGAACGTGAAGAAACAGTGGCATCTACAGAACGTGAAGAAACAGTGGCATCTACATCTGCAACACATGAAGAACCAGTGGCATCTACAGAACGTGAAGAACCAGTGGCATCTACATCTGCAGAACGTGAAGAACCCAATGACATCTACATCTGCAGAACGTGAAGAACCAGTGACATCTACATCTGCAGAACGTGAAGAACCAGTGGCATCTACATCTGCAGAACGTGAAGAACCAGTGGCATCTACATCTGCAGAACGTGAAGAACCAGTGACATCTACATCTGCAGAACGTGAAGAACCAGTGGCATCTACATCTGCAGAACGTGAAGAACCAGTGACATCTACATCTGCAGAACGTGAAGAACCAGTGACATCTACATCTGCAGAACGTGAAGAACCAGTGGCATCTACATCTGCAGAACGTGAAGAACCAGTGGCATCTACATCTGCAGAACGTGAAGAACCAGTGACATCTACATCTGCAGAACGTGAAGAACCAGTGACATCTACATCTGCAGAACGTGAAGAACCAGTGGCATCTACATCTGCAGAACGTGAAGAACCAGTGGCATCTACATCTGCAGAACGTGAAGAACCAGTGACATCTACATCTGCAGAACGTGAAGAACCAGTGGCATCTACATCTGCAGAACGTGAAGAACCAGTGACATCTACATCTGCAGAACGTGAAGAACCAATGACATCTACATCTGCGGAACGTGAGGAACCAGTGGCATCTACATCTACAGTACGTGAAAAACCAGTGGCATCTGCAGAACGTGAAGAATCATTGGCATTTACCTCTACCGAACATGAAGAATCAGTGGCATCTACATCTGCAGAACATGAAGAAGCAGTGGCATCTACAGAACGTGAAGAAGCAGTGGCGTCTACAAACCTTGAAGAAGCAGTGGTATCTACATTTACGGGAGATTATACAACTTTTAAAGCCAATCCCCGTGTTCAGTGTGCATGGCCGTACAACATGTTTGTAATCGACAGGAGTTAATTTGGATTTACCCCCCACCCAGCCCCACCCTCCCCACCCAGCCCCTCCCCACCCAGCCCCTCCCCACCAAGCCCCACCCCACCCAGCCCCTCCCCACCCTCCCCTCCCAGCCCCTCCCAACCCAACCCAGCCCCTCCCCATCCTCCCCTCTCCACCCAGCCCCAACATTTTTGGATGCACGACGGACGGACGGACACAATAATCCCCTGTGGGCTGGTGGAACCAGGAGGTTCCTACCAGTATTATGCATGTGTATTATGCGAGCCCTTTGAACTTTTATTAAATTGTGTTTATTAAAATAGCCCTACCAACAGTAATCCCTATTGAAGTATGCTGCCCTTTGTAGGCATGCATTTAAATGTATTATTTGATTATTTGCGTCCACGCAGCACTAAGGCGGTGGCTATCCGAACGGTTAAAATTAAGTGCTCGAGACATTTCTCGGTCCGCTCTTGGACGAGGGCGCCTCTTCCCCCTACCCCACCGCCCAGTGTCGGCGGTGGGGCAGTCGTTTGACCATACTTCACCACGCTGGTTCATTGCGGATTGGTGACGCGCGGTGGTGGGGCCCACGGGGAGGGGTCAGTGCCGGATTAAGCGGGGCCTGTAGCATATCTTATAAAGGGGCCCTAAATAAAAAACACACAAATATTAAAACACATTTTTTTGTTACTTGCAGAGTAAAGTTATCGTATTTTATTTGCTATACAGCCATATAAGACGACAAATCGCTAACCTTAAACACCCAGTCGTTCAGAAAAGTTGAAGGCAGTATAGTACTATAGTAATAGAGCAAGTGCAGAATCACTGAACCGGAATTGATAGCTTGAAGGCATTTAGCGCAGGGCCCTTGGAAGTGCGGGGCCCGTAGCATATGTATCTACCTTTGCTACGAGGATAATCCGACACTGGGAGGGGTCCGTAACCCAAGACCTATTCAGACACTCTATCACATCGCCACTGACGTTAGCCGGGGCCTGAAGTCAAACTCACGTGAGCGGCAGTAACAATTTGGCAGTAATCGACGGCGGTTGAAATTTTTAAAACAAACATTGTGCTTTGACGCAAACACCTGCCAAAAGACAAATTGAAGACACCAAACGAATTTGAGTGGGGAAAAACCACACTCAACACCCGCATTCTTTTAATCAAGATAAACACCCCCACCACCCACGCGCCCAAAGATGTATGTTTATGTGTGTGTAGTGAGCGACTTCTGAGACACGTCTAGTAGAAGGCTTATGTATTAAGAGCACACAGGCCGATACACTTCGTAACGCAGCTACACATAGGTGTTGATAACACGCAGCCCATCTCCGTCATACACTGCGCTAGCTGTTCGACTAGCGTAGCGGCGGCGACGGAGATGGTCTTGCAGAACAACAACCACGTGGTCGAAGACGAAGAGATGACGACAAGCAGCGACGCAGCCAGGAACCAGGACCCGCATAGGAACCTCCCTTATATCTGCAAGCTCCACCTCTGGTCACGCCCCCTTTCCAGAACCTTCGGGCTGGTTCCCGGAGCTTCGCGACTGACTCCGCCCTTCACCTTGACCCCAGATACGCCCCTCTCATAACAAGGCATTATGTAATGCAGCCATAACCGTAATTATCCCTTCAGGCCGGCAGGTGTCACCCTGTCAATACATGTGTATAAAATATATATACACTGGGTGTTGATGATCTGTGTCATGTTGGTACGAGGTGGAGCGTTGGTGTGGCGCGTGCTGGTTCGGGGAGGCCTTCATCATCCAGCAGTAGGTTGACCATGGATGATGGTGATGATGGTTAAAGTTCGAGACAGCCGACTGTTTTAGAATGACACGTGATAGTTTCATCTCAACATGGTGACAGAATACAGTATTGTGAAAGTGATAGGTCCAAGTTCTTTATATCGTACAGTGAGCGGATCAGATAATTCTGAATATTTATACTGAAGGAATGCGATGAGCTATAAATCAGTTCTCCATTGATTCCAGCGAGGCCGGCTGACTACTGACGAGATAGCCCTCCGCTGCGTGCCGAAACGGGTACCAGAGTCGACTGGTGCTGAATTACCTGCGGCAGTGGCAACTCTCGCGCCTCACGGCAAAAAGGGTCCTGGGTTCGATTCCCAAACTCGTGGTGCCTTTCTGTGCGGAGTCCGTACCTGTCAACCGCTTATTACAGACCAATTCAGGCCTCATTGGTCACCCCCCCGTGCCGTTATCAATATCAACGTTCATCCTACAAAGTCCCATCACAAGGGAGAAACACAAACAAGAGAAAAAATTAAACATTTTGCCCGTATTGAAACGGGCTGTACCCAGTTCGTTTCAATACGGGCAATTTCCCTGGACAAGAATACGGGGTAAACCGTATGGATTGATAGACGTGAGTAGCTATAAGGTACAATACGTTTACAAAAACATATAAGCAGGCGACATGCAGTATCTCCCTCATACGGATGTCCCTCCACGTAAGAAAACACATTCCTGCGGAGAGAGCTGGTAGGAACGTTGGGTTGCTCGGTCAATGGCCAGGGTCAACGGCGGCGTGGTGTATTCCGCAAATATGACGAACTGTGAGGGCGGGCACAAGCCGGCGTGAGTAGGTTAAACGTTGAGTTTTATAAGGGCACCACGGGGTGACCAGCCCCTCCCCACCCAGCCCCACCCCACCCAGCCCCACCCCTCCCACCCCCCCACCCAGCCCCACCCTCCCCACCCAGCCCCACCCCACCCAGCCCCACCCCTCCCACCCCCCCCACCCAGCCCCACCCTCCCCACCCAGCCCCTCCCCACCCTCCCCTCCCCTCCCCACCCAGCCCCACCCTCCCCTCCCAACCCAGCCCCTCCCTCCCCACCCAGCCCCTCCCTGCACGACGGACGGACGGACACAATAATCCCCTGTGGGCTGGTGTAACCAGAAGGTTCCTACCAGTATTAACCACGGCAGTATTTTGTTACACTGCCCATCAGCCAAAATCGAGGCATTCTGGGAGTGCACAATTTCAGCAGCATTGCTTCCAATGCAAGCAAAAAACTTTGGACCGTCTTCGACATTCACACCAATCGATTGCTGCTGATTCGAAGATAGTTGTATCGTTACCACCAATCACCCCCAAGTGATGGGCCCCATATTAAACCTTTTGGCCGCTCTCCCTCCATCCTCTCCGGCGCCGCGGCTGCGTTACCGAGCCGAACCGGTCCGGGCACGTTCCCTGTGACACCCCGCGTCATTCAAGCACCCACCCCACGCCACAAAGACAAAGATCCCCCCTGTAGTCTTCCAACAGGATGTTGAGGTCAAGTGCTGTGAGCGAGCGCACAGAAGAAACATGCCGGAGCCATCTTTGTCCGGTGGTGACGTTCAAACACCGCACCAGGTACTCATTTGAGGCTGAGTCAAGCTAGGGGAAGCCCAGTGTGAGATTTGAAGGCGAGTTGCCGTGTTCGGAGTGAAAGTAAGAGGCAAGCTGTCGATTCAATGCTCTTCTCACAATCCTGTACACGGAGCACAAAAAGTAATCCGATTTTTTTCCCCCACGAGATTGTAAGTGTGGGTTTTTTATATTCTTTTAAATAGTAAGAATACTCTGGCCAAAGAATGACATTATTAGGAGCACACATTGAAAAGTTGGGATCGATTTTAAATTAACCGTGTCAGCCTTCTGCATTCGTTACTCCCACCTCGTGGCTACCAATTAAATATATTTATTTATTAATTACACAGAAAATCCTGTTTAGCCAGTTACCCAGCTACTTTGGGTGACAAAATTCGGAAACTAGTCGGGGGTTTGCCTGCTTAAACAAATGCTGCGGGGAAACATTCACCCCGACGGCCGATTCGCTGAAAATGTATTCTATTGTGGCAAAATTGACACGTGTTTAATTTTTTTTAAACTGAATATTGCATGCCCTGGCACGGTATATACGGAAACGTAAAAGCATGTGGAAGTGCATGCTGGGAGTTTCACTGAGAGTCAGAAAGAGGAACACACGGAGCAGAGAACAAATGCAAGTTCACGCAGCTCATTTTGGATCATAACGACAAGCGAGAGGGCTTGGTGATGGAATGGCAGCAAAAGGAGAGAACACAGCGGAGATGGAGCGATGAGATACATCTCGTGTGGCATCGCACGACCCGTGGAAGGATGACGATGAAGTGGGGAAGCCTTCATCCGGCAGTGGATGGAACATGGCAAATGACTTGCATCTATTGCTTGCTCAAAAGTCACGAACCGTTCGTGTGGAAGCCCCATCATGGCTGTATGTCCAAACGGAAGGCTCTACAGGCCGATTAAGACATTTCACCACTTGCAAGAGTGACCTCATGGCTTTATGCTTGACACAGGATTAAACATACACCAGACGTGACAAATGAAAGGCAGAATTAAAACCGCAGAGGACTTACTGGCGGCCTCTATTTAGCCTTGTGAGGGAACCCTTTGCGATTTCCCACAGATCGCGTGAACCCTAATTACGCGTGAACACAAGCGCGCTCAGAATTACCCACGGACACAAATAGAAAGGGAGGATTCGGAACGACGAAGATTTTTTTTTTAAACCCACCCCAAAATAAAAAAAATTCAGACGGCGGCAATTCAAGAGGACGTGTTCCTGTGCCGGAATGGCCGTGAGCGACAGGGAAGAGCGTCGCGAGAAAAGACATCTGCGATGGAGGTCGGCTGGGGTGCAAGGAGTGTTTCGAAAGCGTCGTGAATCCCCGAGTGCCGAGAGAGAAGCCACCGCGCGTACCAGACGGTGCGTTCGGCGGGCCGCACGGGGTAGATTTGGGAGTTTTACAAATCTCGAGGTGATCCACCAGCCCCATGCTGAGCAGGGTGGGGTGGTGGGGGGTCTCTACCCAAACACGCAGCCACATTGTTGGAAGCTCAGCATGCAGTCGCCGCTCTCGCATTGTTGTCGAGGCGGTGAAGGAGCTGGTGGCGGGGGGGGGGTGCGGATGGAAACTTGGCACCCCCCTCGTGTCGCGCGGGTTTATAGGGCGGCTACACCCATGAGACGCTGCACAGCAACGGCTGGCTCATGTCACGGTGCCTTTGGTCACAGGTCTTGAGCCTGGACATGGACAGGGGGGCAGAGTGGACGGCGCGAAAGGCGTAAGGAAGGGAGGTTTCAGAACTTGGGCAGCACCAGAGCTGAAACGGCAACCTCCCGTTAATTTGGAGAGTTGCGTGTTGGTGGGGTTGTTGAGTGAGATGAAGAGGGGGTGAGGGGTGGGCAGGGGCGAGTCATCCATGGAGGATCCTGATGGGGTTTTTTTGGGTTAGACCACGTAAATAATATAATTGCGACGTTAAACCACCACACAGCGAATTAGCAAGGTTCGTCACGTCAACAAACGTGCCAATTAGCTGCTAGTTCACACACCGGTGTGTTGTAGAGTAAACCCACAACATTTACAATTAAAGTACGACATTTCTCTGGTGATTACGAGAATTGTCAGTCAATTAGTAGTAAATAATTGGCACGTTTTATTCACGTGACAAACTTCACGAATTGTGTCGGTGGGTAAACGAGCGCATTTACATGTACGCGATCTAACCCAAAGAGAAAACCTTCCATGGATATTTGGTCGCGAAAGCCTCCGTGGCTAAACCGATCTTGAGAATGGCGAGTGTCGTCTCCAAATTGGCCCGCGACTGGGATTGGGGGAGTCAGCAGTTGCCGAGCCCTGGCACAGAGGTCGCAAACGGGTTTCGATTCCTTACCCGTACCCGGCCGCACCAAGGTCGCAAACGGGTACCCGTACCCTACCCGTATGGGTAGGGTACGGGTATCAGGTACCTGATTGCGACCTCTGGGATGAAGCCATGTTGCAGGCGCAGGTGGGTTGATTCTAGGAACTTGAATTGTGAGAAGAGACAAGACGTTGGGAAATGAGTGACAAAGAGTTACTCACCACTGACTCACGGTCTACCCGTACCCGGCCGCACCAGGGTCTCAAAACGACTGGGTACGGGTAGCCGGGTATCAGGTAGGGTACGGGTATCGGGTACCCGGTTGCGACCTCTGCCCTGGCAGCGTGGGGCAACGTTGGATCGTCCCGGAGCACAACCGCCATGGCCCGGCTTCGACAGAATTCCATGAAACTCACACACACGCGCGCTGTTTTGTCAGCGGCCCGCATTGTGTACGTAGATCTTTATTGAACATTTAAGCAGAACTGAGCGTAAAAATGAATGAGCAAATATATTTTTTTAAACAGTGTACAAAAGCATTGTTTAAAAAAAGAAAACCAGAGGAGCACACGTGTACACGTGTGGCCCCCTTATCGCAATGCCTTACTCAGTATTTCCATATTTACAAACACGTACTTTGTAGTTATATATAAAATAAAGTCATACAAAATGGCACGGCAGGAGAAAGAAGTACAGTACAGTGTAAATTGAGGCGTAAAATGTTTCCAGCGCAAACACGCGAGCCTATAATTCTACATGGGCAAAAGCTCAGACGTCGCACAAAAACGCCATTATTGTTATTTTTTTAATGGCAATGCAAAAAAACGACGGCGTGAAATCCTCGTGAAATCGGCCCCACGTTGCACGTCGCCACCGAAGCGCATCTCCAGCGATAACTCCTCATCGCCAAGCCCCCCCCCCCCCCCCCGCCAAACCTTGCTCTGCTGTGGCAAAAAAACATTTGCCCCGTTTCCCCCACACCCCAACAACAAAAATACCGGTGGAAAAGCGGTATCCGCCAACGTAAGAATCGGGCCGAATGAATGAAAGAATAAGTAGAAACCCAAGCACCTGTTAACGCAGCTACTGAAAAACGCAACCAGATCCCTCCCCACCACGATGCCCCGCTACGGGGTCAAGGGACCCCCCTCGAACAGAGCAGCACCCCGCGGCTCGAACTGAAGTCGAGCCCGGCCGGGAGATTTAGGCAGTGTCCTGCAGTTCCTGCTGCTCCTGCGGGAGTGTAGAAAGAGAGAGAGAAAGGCGGTGGTGGTCAGGGAGTGGTGCGGGGAGGGGCAAGGGGAAGAGCAATCAATTAAATATTAATTAATTACAGTGATTAGCGAAAGTTTTTGTCCCGCAAGCGCTGCCAGTCTGAGTGCAGCTTTCTGGGTCTGGCCGCGAGTGTTGGCCATTTTCTTTTCTCTCTGGGGCTTTCGCCACTCAACGACTGCGGGAATATTCACCTCGAGACGCTCGCGTAGGAGAGCGTGCCGAAAGTTTGAGATGATGATGATGGTAGTGATGTTGGTGAAGGTCGATGGCGAGGGCAGTGGAGATGGTGACATCGGAAGGTGGCTGCTGGTGATGATGGTGGAGTTGGTGGGTGGTGGTAACAACGGAGATGATTATGGTCGTGTTGTTGCCAGTAGTAGTGGTGGTGTTGACAATGGTATGTGGGTGATATCTGCTCTCCCCTGACCTTGTGAGCACGGTTGTACTTCTTGGTTCCTTGCTGCTTCTTCCACCAAAACTGGGTTACGAGACAGAGGGGTGAGGGACACACACGGTCAGGTGAACCATTGTCGCGCGTCTCTCAGACCAACTGACCATAGGTTTGGCCAACACCAGTTGAAATCTTTCCGGGAGGGGGTCAAAGGTCGGGTCAAAGGTAAGGTCAAAGGTCGGGTCAAAGGTCGGATCTCGACAGCTTGGATGTCACTCACGAAGATGACGGCAGCGGCGACGGCGGCGAGCACGGCGATGACGATGATGGCGATGATGCCGGGCGCCATGCGAGAGGGGCTCATGCGTGGTGGCTCGTCGTCGTAGAACCACACGATGGGCTTCCGCGCGTCTGGGTCCACCTCTATGGTTTGCGGCGGAGTATCACTCGTCTGCAGCTTGCCCGTCTTCAGCTGCGGCGCACAAGCGCACACACACAGGCGCACACACACAAACACACGCGCACACACCACCACCACAACGTGTTAACGGGCGGCGGTGCAGGTGGAGGTAGTTTGTGGGTTTGTAGCAGTGGAGGTGGCAGTGGTACTGGTTGCTGGTCGTGCTGGTGCTGCGTGGGTTTGAGTCGTACTTGTTTTTCTGCGAGGTAGGCGACTGTCGCAATGTCAGCCACGTTCCCGGACACGTTCTGCGTCAGCGTCACGATCATGTTCCGCGTGTCCAGCAGCTGCGGCACGACGAGGGGAGGGGAGAGACAGGGCAGCAGTGGAGAGTTCAAAATGCATTCCTTCACACTCAGCAATTGGCCAAATATATCTTCATTGTATAGCAAAATAAAAAACTAAATTAATCTGCACTGGGAATGGGGGGGGTCCTGGTTAGGTAAATGATTATTGGCGTGTGTGTGTGTCCGCATGTTTGTGTATCTGTATGCGTGGAGCAGTAGTGCAGCGGTTAGCGCACTGCGCTACGAACTCCATGACCAGAATTCAATTCCAACTCACGACCAGTAACAGTCGCGAATATTTGAACCGGTACTGGACCTCCCCAAGGGTTGCCTCAGCCTTGAATGGGTACCTGGTGCCATGTGTATACAGCAACACTGGGCGATAAAAGCAGCCAGGCGTGGTGTTGGCCTATCGCTCCTTTGTGTGCCGTGCCGGCCTTGCCTAAACACCCTGTTATTGCCTACATGGGGGATCTTTGTCTTTGTGTATAATCAATTTTGTACCTGTGGGACGCTGCAGCAAGGGGAGTAAGGTCAAGGATGTAATGTATATGGCACGGGGAAGGAAAGAGAAGAGATAACATAGGAAATGAGATGAAAAGGACGAAAAAGGAAGAGGTAAATGGGACCGCAGGGTCAGGAAAGATGAGGAGTTAAAGACTACGGACAAAGGCCTCGACGCTGCACGGAGCAGCGTCCATTTTCACAGGGGGCGGGGAGAGGGGAGGGGTTTAGAATGGGGGTGGCCATACATAATTCACGTGATTTGTGAGGGAGCCTGAGCTAATGTGTAAATAGATTTCAGTGCACGTTACATGCGTGTGTGTGTGCGCTGGTGTGGGTGTGTCTGGCCGTGACTTACTTGGACATTTTTGAACTGTTCAGGAAGAAGTTTGTAGTTCTTTTGGAGAATGTCCTTAACTTTCCTACGAGGGAAGGACATCGATTTTGTTTGAACATAAAACAACTGTATACATGTCAGCGAGTTACCAAATACAAGACCTCGACACTCACAGTCTATTCCTAGAGTTTGGCTAGAAATATTAATAATTATCCTAACAATATTCGTAAATTTGGTATTTGTGCTCTTATAGTGCAAGGCTTTTACGATCCCGCTATGTTTCGCAGACAGTCTGCTTCACTGTAGGGGGACGACGTTGCGACGTGTAAAAAGTTTTGCGGGTGGAATCCTCCGTAAAAATGTTTGCAAATTTGACCCACGACGGTCTGCTCATTTCCAATGACGTCAGGAGATGTTAACGCCTGCTGTGAAGACGATGCCGTACATCTTCATGGTTAGCACACCCGTAGTAATAACCAGGGTGCACATGGTCCGCCGAATTTGAACCGCGAACAATTCGATAAACGCGCTACGACTGGGTCATGTGTCCACCCAGTACGACTACTTCTACCAGATTTTAATCGCCCTTTCTAACCCAGCCATGGGGGCGAGATGTTAACTACCTTGCCTGGTATACAGGAGGTCGTGGGTTTAATTGTGACCCCGATGCATGTATATTTGGAGTTTGCATGTTCTCTCCGAGATCGCGTAGATTTTTCTCCGGGACCTCCGGTTTTTCCATCTACATTTAGAGCTCAAGATGCGTTTAGAGTATTTGGCTGTTCTAAATTTCCACGTGATAAGCCCACTTCCTTGATCTATCAATACGTGTAGGCCAGGAACTTTTCTGCAACAACAAAAAAGCAATATAAGCTGTGGGCTTTACCTCGTAAAAATAAAAGTTTAGTTTTAGTGTGTCTCTCCCCTGTGCTCGTGTTAGCAAATAGACTTCCGACAGCACAGCCCCCCCCCCCCCACCCACCCACCCTGAGCGGCCGGCTCCTACTCGATACGTCGAGCGGCCTCCCAACAGTTCATTACACTCCAGGCTCTGGGGATCACGTGGCCACGAGGCCTGCCACTTCGAAAACAGCCCGCAAAAGCGATACCCATTGTTCCCTGCAAGCATTTTATTAGCCGCACTAATCGGGTACCAGAGAAACTTTAGACTTCGCAGTATGTTGATAAACATCAGCGTTCTTAAATGAGATCTGGTCCTCGTGATTTTTGACAGGTTATCATTGGTTAACGCTTAACTGCGTGTTAATGCGCGATTAGGCAAAGGTATCTGAAAGCACAAAGTTCCTACCCCCGCTGTGTGCGATCAGAACAAAACATCCTAACAGAGAGAGAGAGAGTTCCTCCTCCTCCCCTTCTACCTCATCTCCCTCGACTACGTCTCCCTGCCCCTCAATTCACCTCTTCCTCCTCTTCCACTTAGCTTCCTCCCCTCCCTCTTCCTTCCTCTCCATCCCCCTTGCCCATCCTCTCCCTCCTTCCCTTTTCCTTCCTTTTCTGGACATCTGTGGAATAGAGCTTCATAGCTCATCAGATTCCTCCAATATGAATAGATTCTCTCTATATCCATCCTTCCCTCTTTTCCTCTCCCTCCACCTCCTCCATCCCTTCCCCTCCCCATGAGATCCCAAATCTTACTGCACATTCTGCGTCTTCTCATCGTCGGAGGGTTTGTGATCCATTGGTATGAAGAAGTCCAGCACGATTTGGCTATGAACAAAAAAACAAGGAGGTTAATGTTACAACACCAACAACATGACAACCGCTACGGTGGCGTGGGTACAGTGTAAGAATCCATGTTTTTTTTCTTTTGGGGGCTGTTTGACCATACTTCACCACGCTGGTCAGAGCGGTTTACTGAAGAGGGGATCTAGGACCAATTCTGATAGCATGGCAAGCCGGGCTGAACTAAGATCGCTACGGTTCATAGCGCAGCGCACGCTAACCCCTGCGCCACCACTCCCCGCGCAGAAAATCTACGCGCAAACGGTGATGTAATTCGTGCGCGTCGCTTCGAGGTGTCGTACTAGAATCTGGAGGACAGGTCTAGGCTTGAGGGCCGCATTCGTTAGCGGCATCGAGTTGTGCGTGCCTACAGTGCACGCAACTGGGACCAGCTGTGTGCGAGGGACCGATTAAAAGTAAGGGGTGAGAGGAGAGGCTGCACGCTGTGGTTATACAACGCTGCGCTGTGAACCTGTCGACACGAGTTTGATTCCCAGCCACGGCCAACATCCGTGGCGAGCTGTATCAGAACCAGTCCTACCCCCCTCCCCCCCTCACTAACCCACACTGACTAGAGTGGTGAAGTAAGGTAACTATTTTTTTAAATGCCCATAACCAACATTGGTGTGGAAAGGCCCTCTATCAATTGGTGGACTGAGAATAGTCTGGAATTTACTTTCGTTTGTTTCGAAGAGGAAACTGGTTGATGTCACCACAGCACAACTTTGTTCAGTAATCTTCAGCGTAACGAATGATGGAGATGGAACCCGGCGACGTGGGCTAACAATTACCCCTGGATTTGTCTAATTAAGTAAATTGCGGGTAATACACTTCCTCACTCACAAGCACCGATTATGATCATCCCAACTGCTCCACGATTACCACCACCACTAGGGACCAGACCACACGACCAACACTACCAAGACCACCATCACAATGGCAACAATTACATCTCTTGCTTTCACATGCGCTTCTGCGGCCGTCTGGAACGCTCTTCCTTCCGATATTTGGAAGCCACTTGGAGCTACACACTTTTAAATCATCTAGATTGAAATTTCGCCAGTAATTACAACTAGCTTCATTAGCCAGATTTGTGGAGAAGTCCACCTGTTTCGTTCCTTATATAGAGGCGTATAAGGAACGAAACAGGTGGACTTTTAATTACTTGCGAAACGTCGTACTTAGATTGTAAATGTTGTGACTTGGCTCTCCAACACACCGGTTAGTGCTGTACTAGTGACGAATTGGCATGTTGTGTTTACGTGACAACCCTTACTAGTTGGCTGTGTCGGGTGGTGGCGGGTTTTAACGACACATATTTACGCGATCTAACCTAAAAAAACTATATTATGGATGATATTGGTCCTGAAAACCTACGTGTTAAACTCATTGTGTTTAGTTTGTTGTTGGCTACGTACGGTGCGAAATAAGTTCAACACAAATACATACAACCAGGCCCTGACTGGCCCATAGGGCAGCAGTCCGGGAAAATGCCCAGTGTGCTGGTACATTCCGAGGGCTGGTGGGCTGGTCCGTGTGAGGAAATTGCAAATGTGATTAATAACTCAAATATTGTATTAACGTGTATGCTTCATTACTCATTTATGCTCTCACTTGCTATTAAATCCCCATATATTCGGCAGCCCTAAAGATTCTTCCTCACCACCCCCGCCCCCCATTTGTTTTTTTGACCCAACCTCAAATGGGGCTCCAATTAGGATCGCAAGGAAATTTGGGCCCGGTGTGTTTACAAGATACATGGGCCGATTTTTTCTTAGTCCCAGTCTGTCACTGCATACGACTACGACCCCCTCCACCCCCACCCCACCCAACCCACTCCACCCGCCCCCACCCCACCCGCCCCCACCCACCCCACCCACCCCCACCCCCACGCCCTCCACCCCCATCCCACCCACCCCACCCCCACCCCACCCACCCCACCCACCCCACCGCACCCACCCACGACGACCACGACAACCCCCAGCACTCACGAGCTCAACACGAGCTTGGGGCAGTCCACGCCGCTCTTGCTCTTGTCGGTGTTGCGCACCCCGGCGCTGTTGACGCACCAGCACTCCCCCGTGGCGTTGTCGCACTGCTTCGCCTTGAACTGCTGCTGCGCATCGCAGTCCGGGTCGTACAGTTCGTCCGTGTCCTGGCGGCCGCCTTCGGGCACCCCGCCGCTGCGCGAGCCCTTCTTCTTCTTCACCATCTCCAGGTGCATGAGGCGGCACTTGAGCGTCACTGCCTCGCAGGGGCGGCGGGGGGAAGAGACAAGCCGAGGGGGAAGTCTTCATCGGTTGTTCGGCAGGCATCGGCAGCCAGGGTCAATCCGCTGCTGGATGACGGCCCCGCCAACCCGCCGCCGCCACCGCCACCTCTCGCGATCTCGGAGCGCGATAATGAGCCCGAGCACACCGGCACGCACGACAGAGGTCGCAACCGGGTACCCGATACCCGTACCCTACCCGATACCCGTACACTACCCGATACCCGGCTACCCATACCCAGCCGGGTACGGGTAGCCGTTTGCGACCCTGGTGCGGCCGGGTACGGGTAGGCCGTGAGTCACTGGTGAGTAACCGTTTGTCACTCATTTCGGGTAGGGTACGGGTAGGGAACGGGTACCCGTACCTGGCCGGGTACGGGTACCCATTTGCGACCCTGGTACGGCCGGGTACGGGTAAGGAATCACAACCCGTTTGCGACCTCTGACCTTCGAGCACCGATATCGCCGCGCTCCATCGCCACTGTGGACATCGTCTCGGACGCGTTCCATTACTTTGGCCCTCACTTCCGTCGTCATACTTGACCGACGGCCATCGAGATTGAGAACACCAAGGGTGATTTTAACTATTGAAAAAAACATTTACCACGTAAGGCCCACTCGGCTATACAGCTCTTTTTCAGAAGCGACCTGGCCACAAATAATCGCCAAAACGAAGTGGCTTATCATGTGGAAATTTATAGCAACCAAATACTCTAAACGCACGTTATTTTATATGTGGAGGGGAAAACTCCAAGTATACAGGCGTCAGGGTTGGGATCGAACCCATGACCTCCTGTATACCAGGCAAGGTAGTTAACACCGTGATTTGGTTGTAGGCAACTTAGACGATGATGACAATGGGGAGCTTCATCTCGTGACGATGGTGAAAGTGTCGCAGCGACGGTGACGACAACAACCCCGATGACGAAGGTGGAGATGGCGACGATGACACCTGGGACCCTCGCCTCCTGGGTGACGATGATGACGACGATGATGATGACGTGATGATGATGACGTGATGATGATGATGACGATGACGTGACGACGACTAAGACGGACGTCTCGTGATGACGATGTCGCGTGTCACCACGAGACGACGAAGAGGAGACGGAATCCTCCTCTTATGACGATGGCAGAAATGATGCCGACTTTTTGCGAGCCCTCGTGATCCAAAGCTGCTGCGTGACCCCCCCCCCCACCCCATTCCGGGTGATTTGGTCAGAAGCAGTATCAGAATCTGTATTTAAACTGGAGGAATCCGATGAGGTCTGAAGCTATTTTTTCACAGATGTCCAGCGGTGCTCATGTGGGGTGTCACATTGAAGGTAATTGGAGTTCTCGGAAACAGGGCTCATTTGCTTACAGAATAGATCCGCGGCTTGGCGCGTAACTACAAGGACACGCTCGTCACATTTACCCTCCCTCATCTTTGCCCAAGGGGTCTAAGTGTCCCTACCCCCACCTCACCCCTACCCCCACCTCACCCCTACCCCCACCTCACCCCTCCCCCCACCTCACCCCTCCCCCCACCTCACCCCTCCCCCCACCTCACCCCTCCCCCCACCTCACCCCTCCCCACACCTCACCCCTCCCCACACCTGACCCCTCCCCACACCTGACCCCTCCCCACACCTGACCCCTCCCCCCAACTCACCCCTCCCCCCACCTCACCCCTCCCCCCAACTCACCCCTCCCCCACCTCACCCCTCCCCCCACCTCACCCCTCCCCCCACCTCACCCCTCCCCCCACCTCACCCCTCCCCCCACCTCACCCCTCCCCCCACCTCACCCCTCCCCCCACCTCACCCCTCCCCCCACCTGACCCCTCCCCACACCTGACCCCTCCCCCCAACTCACCCCTCCCCCCACCTCACCCCTCCCCCCAACTCACCCCTCCCCCACCTCACCCCTCCCCCCACCTCACCCCTCCCCCCACCTCACCCCTCCCCCCACCTCACCCCTCCCCCCACCTCACCCCTCCCCCCACCTCACCCCTCCCCCCAACTCACCCCTCCCCCCAACTCACCCCTCCCCCACCTGACCGCTTCCCCCCCACCTCACCCCTACCCCCCACCTCACCCCTCCCCCCACCTGACCACTCCCTCTACCTCACCCCTCCCCCCACCTCACCCCTCCTCCCACCTCACCCCTCCCCCCACCTCACCCCTCCCCCCACCTCACCCCTCCCTCCACCTCACCCCTCCCTCCAACTCACCTCTCCCCCCACCTCACCCCTCCCCCCACCTCACCCCTCCCTCCACCTCCCCCCACCTCACCCCTCCCCCACCTCACCCAACCTCACCCCTCCCCCCACCTCACCCCTCCCTCCACCTCCCCCCACCTCACCCCTCCCCCCACGTGACCCCACCCCCCACGCCGCCGAGTCTCACGTTTGTCGCACTTCTCCTCCTGCTTCTCCAGGTCGAGGAATTTGGGCTTGCAGGTGGTGCAGTCCACCTCGCAGTAGGTGAACTCGTTATTCGGGCACCGCATGCCGGCGCAGGTGTCCTGCTGACACGTGCTGGGCGCCGGGCACGCTGAGAGCAAAGACGCGGCACGTGCATGGGTGGGCAGCAGAGGGGAGATGGGGGGCATTATCGTGAGCATCATCAATCTATGGACAGAATCATCATCATGATTATCATCCTGCATGTTGAGCGTCTTTCGCAGCGTACGTAGCCGACCGTGCACAATCATCAGTGTACTCAAAATTACCCACGACTTTTATCATCGTCATCTTAATCCATGACGAATATACACAGCAGCCTCTCGTCGTAGTTGACGACTGCGAATTTAAAATGTAATATGCGAGGTTACTACCACAAACACCGCGAATACCATCCCAAGTGAACGTCCAAAGTTGCGCTAATTTTCCATGTACACTGGGACCGCCATCGCCACTTACTTAACACACCACGGTAACCGTCACCGCCATCATCAACGACAATCCCTCATCACGACAACCACCACCATTGTCATCATCATCATCATCATCACCGACCAATCCCTCCATCATCATCACAACCACCGTCGTCATGGTCACTAGCACGACAACCGCCATCTTGAACCATCAACCAAATTTAAACAATCTCCACCATCATCCCCTATCATCATCACAACCATCTGCACCACCACATCCACTGCCCTGACCCGCGGTCAGGGCATATTCGGCACACTCGTACCACCCCCAAAATCTCCAAATCACTTTCCCGCTCAAACGACGGGGGCCCTTTATCAAGCCCCTCCTGTTGACAGCCCTAAGCCAGCGGAGGAAATTCCACATTGCTATGACGGGGGCTTGAATATCCATCGAACCAACCCAAGCGGCTTTCCATGATGTGGTGTACTTGGGCGTGGTGGCAATTACCAAGCGGGGTTGGTGGACTGCGAAACTAAGAATCGTCGTACGAGATCGCCACGAGGTGGCCCAGCAGATGACAGTACAAGGAGTAGGTTTGCACCAAGCTCTTTGTACGAGTCTTGTTGTTGTTGTTGTGTACGAGGTAACCCCTCCAGTGTCGGGGGAGGCTTTCTCCGAGCACTCCGCGTTCATGAAACATAAACGCGGTTCGCCCGAGGAATACAACTGAACGGAGGATTGTCGCGAAATGGGGGACACCGCCTACAATATACCGTGTGGAATTATTCACGATAATCGTGTGGTATGATTCACGATAATCGTGCGGTATAATCCACGATATATCGTACGAATTGATCCACGATATGAGCCACGATACGATATCATTCACGATAATCGTATGCCCCCCTAAGTGGAAATCAAGATTGATACATATATCGTTTATACACAGTAATGTATCGTTATTATCATCGCTCATATCATAGCTTCACCATTCCCTCCCCCCGATAATTTGTTATCGTTGTTATGATGAAAGCTGTAAAGTTAATAGCTACGGTCCATTACGCATTGTAAGATAAGGAGAATATCTAAATCTTTGCCGGAGTTATTGACGGCGTGGCCTCAATGTCCACGTCATCGTTAATTTATTTCATTGCAACTTGTATCAATCTAGAACGTTTACATAATTAATCGTTACGGATTATATAATCGTTATATAATCTATAGATTGCAACTATTACGAAACATGTTTTGTGTCAAGCTTGATTTACGCCGAGGGGCTTTCAAATAATAGTGTATAATATATTATAAATACATTTTACTTTTATATTTCCTTACACGAAGTGGGGAGGGTGGGGAGAGATGAGGCAAAGCAACAACCATTTTCAACAAAAAAAACCTGAAATATAATGACATTGTAATGACATTTCAGGATTTCACCATCGCGATAATCGTCATCATATCGCCAACAAAACATTATGGGGCCAAAACCGAGGTCACCAATCGTGTGTACAACAAAGACGGGGTCACCGCATGGCGCGGCGCTTTCAGACGCGCTTCTGCGGCCGTCTGGAACGCTCTCTTCTTTCCGATATTCGGAATTCACTGGGAGCAATGCCACTTTTAACTCATCATCTAGATTGAAAACTCATTTCGTTAGAGCTGCTTTCTGTGTATAGTTTGTTGTCCTTCCCCCTCCCCCACGCACCTCCGATTAGCACGGTTGGCTACGTACGGTGCGAAAGAAGTTCGACAACATACATACCCTCGTTAAAATCGAGTCTTAAAGACTCCAGTTTTCCAGGGAGTCCAACACCACCACCACCCCCCACGAGCCACGGCGATGAGCCAAGTCCACGTCTCGTTTTATCCGATTGTGGCGCAATGTTGGGAGTTCAATTATCTTTGTGTTTTTGAAACCTCATGTTGCGTGGGGAGTTTATCTTGTAAACGCACAACTGCTCCGTGGCGATGATGCAAACACCCAATTTGCGACGTAGACTTAAACGAACCGAGCAGAACTCAAAAAGTTTGATTTATTTTTATTTAACACAAAAAAACCAAGCGATGTTTCTCTTTTGCCTCGAGTCTGTTGTAATTCCCTCACCACCAGCACCTCCGATTATCGCCGCTGGCTACGTGCGGTGCGCGAAAGATGTTTAACAAACGTGTAACATACATACGGATAAGCAACAGAGAGAGAGAGAGAGATGGGGTAAAGGAATTGCGTCGTTTTGAAAAGATCCGAAACCGCCATCACCACCACGCCCTGCCCAGAGAGAAAGGGCGCGAGAGAGAACACGAGAGATGCCCTCTCCCCAAGCACTCTTCCCTAAGCACTCACGAATTGCCCCATTTCACTGCATGCACATCGCACTGCTCCTACACCATCCTCGTCTGATGAGCTGAACGTTATTAAATCTGCAGCGAGCGAGATAAACCACATCCCTTAGTGAAAACTAATTGCTCCGTCGTCTTTGAAGAGATGCCCCCTTCCTATTAATCCTCTGCGTCGGACTAATGTCATTTCATTGATTGACCTTAAAAAAAACTAACAAAAAACACGTTAACATCACCTTCCTTCCGAGTGTAATGTCTTCATACTGCCCTTCTGCTGCCCTCTCCCATATCTCTGCCCCCACCCCCTCCCCGCCACCGCGTCTAATGCCAAAACGCTGCCCCCTCTCCTGCTACTCTTCTTACTGCCCCTTATGCTGCCCCTTGTTCGTCATTTAACCGTCCTACCCATTGCTCACTGCCCTCCCTGCTGCCCACGTGTCCTGCTGCCCTCTCCGTCGCCTTCTCCCCGTCGCGCTCGCACCGCCGCCCGCTCCGCTTCTCTCTCCGCTGCCCAATCCCACCACGACTGCCCTTCACGACTGCCCAACATTCACCGTGGCCAGATTTTCGTTAATCGGTGCCCCCATCTCCTCTGCTGCCCTTTTCTCTCACCCACTGCTCCGCTCTGCACCACCCCCCCTTCTCTCTCATCACCGCCTGCCCTCTCGCGTTACCGCTGCCCCCACCACCACCTCCTCCTCCACCTCTCACGCCGCTGCCCTTCTCTCACTCACGTGATTGGGCCGCGCTCACGCAGAACATCGCCACCACCGCGACCACGAACAGCGGAGTCGTCGTCGTCATCTTCGTCGTCTTCGTTGTCGTTGTCACGATCGTCGCCAAATTCCCTCCTCGAGTGACACCAAAAAAAATAATTTTGTTTTTAAATTGAAATATCACGGCTCAATAATTCCTCTTCTTGATTTGCTCGTTCCGTTTGGGTGTTGGGCGAGGGGGGGGCAATTCTCAACGCTCGTTACGAACGTTTAGGCGCGTTAATTTGTTGTTAAAGTTGTCGGCAACAACAGGCGAAGTGCTCCTCGCTGGTGCACGAGTCGCGCGTGGAATGAGCGGAGAGACAACGGGGCGGGGCGCACAAGCGAGGGCCCCTCCCCTACGTCCCCCCCCTGCACCCCTCCTCCCCCCTCCCCTACGCCCCCCCCCCTCCCCTACGTCCCCCCCTCCCCTACGTCCCCTCCCCCTCTACGCCCCCCCTCCCCTACGCCCCCCTCCCCTACGCCCCCCCTCCCCTACGTCCCCCCCCTGCACCCCTCCTCCACTACGCCCCCCCCCACCTCCTATACGCCCCCCCTCTACGTTCCCCTTCTCTACGTCCCCCCTCTACGTCCCCCCCCTCCTCTACTCCCCTCCCTCTACGCCCCCCCTCTACGTTCCCCCCCCTCTACGTCCCCCCCTCTACGTCCCCCCCCCTCTACGTCCCCCCCCTCCTCTACTCCCCCCCCTCCCCTACGCCCCCCCCACCTCCTATACGCCCCTCCCCCTCTACGCCCCCCCCCCTCTACGTCCCCCCCTCCTCTACTCTTCTTCCCCTTCCCCCCCCTCCATCCCCTCCCCCTTTCCCCTCATGCCCCTCCCCTCCCCCACCTTCTATCCACTCCTCCCCTGTAACCCCTCCCTTCTACCCACCCCACCCTTCACGTCGCACAGGTGGGAATCCACCCCCCCCCCCTTCATCTCCATAATTCGGGCACCCCCCCCCCCTTCCTTACCGCCATCCACCCATCACCCGTCGACTCCACAGGCGACAGCCCCTCCCCTCAACCCCCCCCCCCCCCCCACATTCAATCCGCCCCCTCACGTAGCACAGGTGAGAGCCCCTCCCCCACCTCCCCCCCAAGCCGCCACAGGTGAGGCTACACCACGTGATCACCTATTTACAGCCCCGTCCTGCAGCCCGAGGGGCTATGGAGGGGAGGGGAATGGAGGGCTGGTGTAAGGCAGGGCTGGAGTGAGTAAGGTAGGGCAGGAGTGAGTAAGGCAGGGCAGGAGTAAGGCAGGGCAGGAGTGAGTAAGGCAGGGCAGGAGAGACGAGAGGTGGAGAGAGAGAGAGAGACGAGAAGGGCAGGGAACGGAAGAGGGCTGGAGGGAATATGGGAGATGAGGCAATGTCTGGAGCGGTGAGGGCAGGGCTGGAGAGAGAAGGGCAGCAGAGGGCAGAGGAGGCGAGGGCAAGGGCTGGGGCGAGGAGGATACACAGAGGGCAAGGAAACAGGGCAGGTGTGTAGAGGGGGAGGTTAAGACGTGAAGTTGCGGTGATTGGGATCGTGTGAACCATTAATGATGGCTGTGTACACACATTACACTCTACATTTCAATTGCGGGCAACTGTTGTGTGTGGATATCTGATGACAGCTGATGGTTGTTGCCGTTGCGGATTCAGGGGCATTGCAGTAGGGGGCAACAGAGCACCCCCCTCCTCACCTAAGTTTTTACAAGGGGGTAAAGCCAGACGCCGTGCCCCCTCAATAATAGCTCCACATGCACCCGCTACCACCGAAATGTGTCATGTATGATGCATAGACACACCTTGTACATAGACACACCTTGTATTGTGTACATGGATTCACCTTATGCATAGATGAGTGGCCCGCACCTTATACACCTTCATACCTGGCAGCCAAAACGGCTTACCCGTATTATTGTACAGGGAAATTAAATTTCAGGTCCTTACGGCGTAAAGCCGTTTCAACAAGGGCAAGAAAATGTGTCTGTGTTTCTCCCTTGTGATGGCACTTTGTAGGACGAACCTTGAGATGTATAAGAGCACGGGGTGACTAATAAGGTCTGAATTGGTCTGTAATGAGGTAGGGCACTGATAAGGGGTTGACAGGTTTGTATCTACTACATATATATATGGCCCTCATTTGGGGCGCCACGGTGGCGAGATGTTAACTATTTCGCCTGATCTACAGGAGGTCGTGGGTTCGATCCCGATCCCGACCTAATGCCTGTATATTTGGAGTCTGCGTGTCTCTCTCTCTCTCTCCGTGGTCGCGTTGATTTTTTTCCTGGGTCCTCCCGTTTTCCCCTCCACATTTAGAATCAACATCACGCGTTTAGAGTATTTGGCTGCCGCTATAAAATGTCCACACGATAAGCCCACTTCGTTGAGCTATCACTTGCGGCCAGGTGGCTTCTGAAAAAGAGCTATGTAGCTCAGTGGGCCTTGCCTGGTAAAATAAAAAAAACAGTTAATGACATCGTTCCAGCAACACCTGTTGCCTATATGCGTTGATGATGCTGCTGCTGCTGATTCGAATCATTGTTGATATATTTTAACGGTGATGATCAGAGGATGAGCTATCAAGATAATTTTCAACGATGTTCAGTAGGCCTCCGGACATCACCACGGTTGAGGTGGTCTCGAGCCACTGCCGAGGCTAACATCAAACGGCACTCGTCCCTGGACTGTGCTCAGCGTGGTACCGCACTCAGGAGAGAGTCACTCCAGCTAGGGGCAAGCGACTGAAGATGAAGCTGTCGATGTATGTTGAACTTTTTTTGCAACGTACGGAGCCAACCGTGCTAATCAGAGGTGCGGGAGAAGGACAAGACAGAGGACACAAAAATCAGTTCTAAAGAAAGTAATTTGTCAATCTAGATTTGAAATTGTATAGCTCCAGTGGCTTCCTAATATCGGAAGGAAGAGCGTTCCAGACGGCCACAGAAGCGCATCTGAAAGCGTGCTATGCGGTGACCCTATTTGTTCGATGGCTCACCAATAGAAGTCGCCGCGAGATGGATTCATGCTCCTTGACGAGATATCAGCAAGGTATTGTGGTTTATTTGTGGCAGGCACTTTGCGTTGTGCGTAATGAGTGCGACCTGATGCTGACGATGATGTTGTTAATTAAGATGACGACGGTGTTAGTGGTGGATTTCCTTGCTATGGGCATGCAGGGAGCGTGTGCGTCACCTGTGATCGTCAACTGTTCATCGTGAGGCTCACGCGATCACCCCCAGGGTCTGGAGGGAGGGTCCCTCTGAGAGTCCGCGTTGGAAATTCCACGCCGGATTCCGCGTGACTCACACCTCCTGCTCACGACCCGTCATCCCACTCAGCAGTTGACAAAATAACAAGCGATAATGTATGTTGCATTGCCTTTGAAACTGATTGGCACTCCACCAAAGAGAATGCGTATATTAAATGAAGTGTGGTCACCACATCTACGCCTCTAAATAAGGAACGAAACGGTAAGACTTCTCGACAAATCTGGCTGTCGCCTGATGAAGCTGGTTGTAATTACTGGCGAAACGTCGTACTCAAATTGTAAATGTTGTGGCTTGGCTCTCCAACACACCGGTGTGCTGTACTAGTGACGAATTGGCCACGTTCTGTTTACGTGACAATCCCTTACTAGTTGGCTGTGTCGGGTGGTGGCGGGTTTTAACGACACATTTATATATTCATGCTATCTAACCCAAAAAAAACTCTTATGGATTATTATCAGAACATGTTTGTTTGCATGTTTTTTTGCCGCAAGTACGCGTGGTTAATGTATCTTTGGTGTTTGGACATCTTAACACCTCCTGTTTTATTGCCAGAAAGGTTAAACCCAATTTTTTTTTACATACCTATTCTTATTCTTTCGTCATTGCGAAACTGGCAAAAACATTCCCATAGATGGATGATAAGCGAACCGCGCGGATGACTCAGATGTACGCTCGCGGCGCGCTCACCAAGACGAACACCACCACCAACAACACCACCAGCAACACCAACACCACCACCACCACCAAACCTGCCTCGGCACTAAAATGCTGTTGCCTTTTGGGTTTTTCGCAAGCAATTCTCGCGTCGCGCCAAACTTCTGAATAGGGCCCGCTGGCAACCAGCACAGTTACACCGGTCAACATGAACACCACCCGTATGCTAACAGGCGAAGGGAGAAAAAAGAACGACGCGGGTCTGTATCTTCACGTGAAATTAATTGCATTTATAGTTCAACGTTTTATATTTTTCGCATTATATAAAGCGTTGTTGGTTCATCAAGCTTATCGGCATGCCAGATCAATGTTATCCCGCAGCATCTGTTTAAGCAACAAACCCTGAACTGGATTCCATACATGTCAAGCTCTTTATCAGTGCCGATCCTATTACAGGTCCAGTTCAGACCTTATTGGTCACCCCGTGCCCTTATAAATCTCAACGTTCATCCTACAAAGTCCCATCGCAAGGGAGAAACACAAACAAATAGGACAATAAAATAGTGCCCGTATTGAAACGGCTGAACGCCGTATGGACCTGAAAACTAAATTTCTCTGTACAAGAATACGGGGTAAACCTCATGGGTTGACACGGTATGTGGATTCGACTTTGAGTCTCAACGGCAGCGTTGTGGCCCCGGTTTAACAAAACGCTGTTGGGTTTAATGTTGTCTGTACGTGGATGTAGACATCCTGAACAGGTATGTTGGACTTCTTTTGCACCGTACGTAGGAAAACGTGCTAATCGGTGGGTGCGGGTTTCATACATTGAGTATGTTTGCCGCGCTGCGCTACGAACTCGGCGACCCAAGTTCGATTCCCACTAACGGCCAACACCAGTGGCGATTATTTGAACCGATCCTGAGCCTCGGCTAGGTGAACTGAGCCTCAAATGAGTACCCGGTCCGATGTGTAAACATCGCCACTAGGGAGACAAAGGCGGCCGGGCGTGGTGTTGGCCACCAACCCCTTTGTGTAACCGTGCCTGCCTTCATAGGTGCTCGCGAACAGCACTTGCCCCAACAGCCTGTGAAGGCTACACGGGGTGTCTTTGTCAATGTGCCCACGTGCTGTACTTTGTCGATCCCCCGCTGCAGGCGGTCCTGCCAAACGCCGTGCGACTCGTGGTGTTAAATAAAGGTCCCATTTGTTTTTAATTTTGACCATACTTCACCACGCTGGTCAGTGCGGTTTGGCAAAGGCGGGGATCGCAGACGCAGATCTCCGTCGCCTACCACGAAAGCTTCGGTGCCGAACGCATCTGTCCGTCTCTGTCCCTGGTCGCCCATTCAAAGCAGCATGCAGGCCTAAAGACACCTGCTTAGCTTTCGCGATCGGGCGCATTCCGAGTGAACTGATCATAGGTGTGCCTGTGTCACGTGTTGTCTCAGCGCGTGTAATTATGTATCATGTCTTAGGTATGCGCGTCTCGATGTTCTATATAAATAGGTCGTACCTGGGGAAATTGTTTGTTAGATTCCCGGTCGTAGCCAACAACAGGAGCGAATTTCTCGGTCTCTCCCCTAGGCTGACCCAGCCTTAAATGAGTACTGTACCTGGTGCGGTGTGCAAATATCAGTCCAGGGGGGGGGGAGAGACAAAGGCGGCCGGGCGTGGTGGCTTGTCGCACATCACGCGGTGCCGCGCCGTGTGACGTCTCCAGCCTTAATAGGTGCTCGCTAACAGCTCTTGCCCCAACAGTCTAAGGCTATAAATGGGGTGGTCTGCCTGTGCGAGTGAGTGTGTGTATTCAAGTTCTCTACAATTGAATTCGGTATCCGCGCTACTCTTTTGGCGCAATCATAGCACGAAGACGGTTTCACAAATCAATAGCATCGCAGTCATGGGGGGGGGGGGAGGAGAGGAAAATGATGTGGGTTTACCCAATTTATTAACAGAGACGTAGAATTTATAACCGTGTAAAATGTAACTAAAACACAACGCCGACAATCCAGTATCTCGTATAACTCCCTTAACCGGAACGGCTCTCCGCCTCCCAATTCGTCCGGCTTCGATGTTTAACTGCACAATGTGATTCCATCAGTCGAAGAAGATCGAGGCGTTCCAACAGCGAAGAGATCATCCCATCGGACCGGTTTCAACCACTATTACTCATCAGCAACCCTGCGGCAAGTTAAACAAAACACTGGGGGACACCCCCCCCCTCCTGATGCTTGGTTATTTACAATCGAGTCGCATACAAAAGACAAAGATCCCCCGTGTAGAAACAGACTGTTGTTGTTGTTAGCGAGCACCTATTAAGGCCGGCACGGCACACACGAGTGGGTGGGGGGTGGCCAGCACCACGCCCGGCCGCCTTTGTCTCCCCGGCGGCGATGTTTATACACCGCACCAGGTACTCATTTGAGGCCGAGTCGACCTAGAGGCGGCCCAGGACCAGTACAGACAATCGTCACCGGCGTTGGCCGCGTGCGGGAATCGAACCCGGGTCGCCGGGTTCGTAGCGCAGTGCGCTAACCGCTGCACCACCGCTCCCCGCACCCTCTGCCATACACATTTACCAGGGTGACGACGTCATGTGTGTGCGTGTCTCGTCACCCTGGTGTATGTGTGGGCCACAAGGCATGTATTGCGACTCGTGACGGAGACACGTCACCTCGTGTCACCTCAGTTGGTCAACCCATGGTAACTGGGTCTGTGTATCCGTGACCTCTTTGCCAGCGAGCGTTCGACATGTCACGTGGACTTAAAAGTGCACCTGGCCTGGCACAAGCGCCGGCGGCGACGTCACCGCCACTAAAGTGGCGATTGACGGTTGTTGTTGTTGTTGTCGTCGTCTCCTGAAGCTGACAAACAGGTCGCGTTGTTGTGTTTTTTTTATTGTAGTCGCCGCCTTGAGACCCCTTGCCATGTGCTGCTTGTTGCATGAGTGGCGTCGTGTCTGACACGGGTCCTGCTGCAAGGGGATTAGGATCATGGGCCATGGGCCCTCTCTCCTCGTTCAAATCCATCGCTGTGTCCACGTGGGGGTGGGGGGGGGCAGTCCACAGACAACCAAAATGACACAGCAAGCATCCTGTGGCGCTTGTCAGAGCAGCGAGGCACCTTTGGCTCCTGACGTTCCATGTACAGCCCCTCCCCCCGGCCCCCCCGGTGTCAATCGACTTTTGAGTGAAAGCCTCAACCCAGCCTCGCAGTGTCTCGTCACAGACAGGAGGTTTGCGTCTTCGACGTATTTTTGTTGCACGCAAATCGGCGCGCGCCGAGGACCTGCTCAGGCATCGCTCGCCACGGATGTTGGGACCGCGACAAGCGATGGAAACTCGGGTCGGGTCGTCCGGATTTTCAGAGCAGCAGTGCGCTAACCACTGTGCCACCGCTCCCGTACACCCCACCTCCCCACCCACCCCTAAGACAATACAAACACGTCTATGATACAACTGGCTGGTTCTGGGTTATACCTGCGAGCGCCATACGCTCCGGGCAATGAACCTACCCTGATGTGTGGGTGGGTGGCCAATCTGCGCGTAATTGCCGCCCGGTTGTTTGGTCGTGGTGGGGTTTTACCCCACGCGAAGTCACCCACCCACCCCACCCACCCCCCCTTAACAACATTGACATGCGACTCCCCCGGGGTTGTTTTACCAGCGGTGCTTTTAAAATTAGACCATTGCGTCACTGTTATAAAATAAAATAATGCAACGTCTTTCTACGGGGACGCGTTGCGGGCAGCAGAGGGTAAAAGCGCAGCAAATTGACTGGGCTGCCATGCTCCCACGTCTATACTTCACCACCCGGTCCGCAATGACCCGGGTGGTGAAGTATGGTCTTAACCCCCCCCCCCCCCTCATGGGGGAGGCTCTCATCCAACAGCGGATTGAGAAACGAACTGCTGCTGCTGCTGGACGCGTACACTCCCTCGCAGATGGAAATCTACCAGAAGTTGTCACCGCACAAGACAATGTTGTCATTGCACAGGGCAATGTCGTCATTGCACAGGACAATGTCGTCGGCTGAACACGGATTTCTTCCACCGTTTCACGGCCAGTGGTCACGCGGCGCCACCCAGCGGCCAAGCTCGGAATTGGCAACAGTTAACAACGTTCGACCATCAGCCCGCAATGTTCATACTTGCACACTCGTATCACTCAACAGCCCTTCGTAAAATTTTTATTTAAAGCTTTCGTGACTGCAGGGATTCATATTCTTGGTTCGTTCGGTAAAGTCACGTAGAAGGGAACATTCTCTTGCTGTGGATTTCACACCTGATGACGATTGCTTGTGTTGCAGTCGAAACGTCGTGACAATTTGTATTGTTTTATATTAATATTATTTTATTATTTCCCTTCTAGGTGACTTTACCGAAAGAACCAAGAATATGAAGCCCTTCGTCAATCCACTGCTGGATGAAAGACTTCTCCCGCCGCTTCGATTATGGGGGTTGTTTGACCATACTTCACCACGTTGCTCGGTGGGGTGGGGGTTAAGGAAAGAGGGGCCGGTCCACTTTCAAAAAACTTGTCGGGAGGCCCTCATCCAGCAGTGGATTGACAAAAACGGCTATGCGTGTGCTGTACGCATTAACACAGCAATACAGGCCATCGTGAGAAACACCCTTCTGTATTTACACACTCAGGGAAACGGGGATTGCCTGCGGTGTGGAACACCGGGGTGTAAACGTTCGGGAACAATTGCCCACTCTACGCTTTATTTACCTTTACAAAAACGGTTACGTACAGCCAGTTACAGGACAAAGCTACACCCAGCTCCTCACACGTTAGGGTTTCCGAATATTTTAAAGAACTTCGCAACGGTGGTTTATATCAACTCTCTTTTAAAAAAACTTTATTTCAGGAGGCATTAGCGCTAAGACAAAACTAATATTTGCCTTGCTTCACACGCCCACCTTAAAACGCAGGTGAACAATGCTCCCGCGGCCCACCGCATTCACAGACAGCGGAAGGGCGGCTCACAATGTGTTCACAAAAATTCCCCAAAAACGCAACTTCCCCGCTCCCAAAACAAAACAGCGACCCGAGCTGGAGTTCACGCACAAGCCCACACGCAGGAGCGGAGCGGGGCGGTGGCGCAGCGGCGGACGCTCCCGTGTTACCAAACGTAGAAACTCGAGATCGAATCCCGGCCGCGGCTACCATCAGCTGGCCGAGCGACATCTGAACCGATTCCTGAGCCCTCTTCGCCGTTCACCATGGTAACAAGTATGGTCAAACAAGCCACGAGATTGAAAAACAATGGGGAGGGCCCCGTTCAACCAGCAATTAAGTGACATATAATTATTATTATTATTGCAGACCCACGTCCCCCTCCTGTGACTCCTCGCTCCGAAAGATTACAAGGTCAGTGTTCGGTCACTCTGGTGTTTGGTCTCTCCGGTGTCAACATCTTCGTTGTTCGATCAACCCAACCAATGCTCCTGGGTTCAGTCTGCCCACTGTTCTTGAGCCCCAATAGTTTTCGGTCCCCCGCCCCTCCTCCAGCGTTCGGTGATTCCGACATTCGGTGGCCCCCAGAGTACCATCTCTGATCTACTACCACCCGCGGTGTGCGGCCACCAGGGCCTTCCATTTCTCCGGGTGTTTGGTTGGCCCGTGCCAGCGGGGGCAGCAAATTACACATGTTGAACTTCTTTCGCACCGTACGTAGCCAACCGCACTAATCGGAAGTGCGTAGGAAGGACAACGAAGCAGGCAGGGTGAGAGCGCGGCAAGAGTAGCGACCTCCCGGTTAGTCCTCCATGAGGATGTCCACCTCCTCGGGTGGAGCGCGCAGACGAAGCTCCTTCTCCGTCATCATGTCCGTCAGCTCCTGCACACGCTCGGGGAAACTCCGCACAGCGTCCATGTACAGCACCTGGGGGCGGGAGGGTGGGGGTGGGCGCAGAGTGGGGATGCCGGCGAGGGGAGGGGGACGCACACACGTGTGTGAAGCAAGCAATGCTACATCGTGAAATTGGTTATGAAGTTAGTTATGATGCTCACAACACATGCATCGGATTGTGCGTGTAATAATCGTTGTCATAATTTAAGCAAATTATATGCAACGAATACACCAATGTTACATTTTGGCATACGGAAAAAATGTAATGTCACAAACGAGACGAAACAATCATGAAACACAAACCAGATGGTAAAAATTACAAAAACAAACGACTCTTGACTGTCAATCAATGACTTATAATGCACCGCATGCAGCAAAAATAGCTGTTGGCGAGACCTCGCATTCCGTGAGAGTCGATGTCAGGAGAGACTCAACAATGTAGCGACAGAGAAACTCGGGGGGCCAAGGGAAGGGGCGGTAGGTGGCGTCCCTCTCGGACGCCGTGGGCTTGCGCGAGGCCTCACCTTGGCCCAGGGGCAGGCCTGCACGGCACGGTAGAGGATCCCCTCACTGCGCGAGGTCGTGCCCTGAACCCTCTAGCGGCGGCACAGAGCAGGGGGCACGTGGAGACGGGGGTTGAGACAGAGAGAGGCAGCGAGAGACAGAGCAAGGGTGACAAAGAGAGACAGAGAAACAGCGACTTACTCTTGTGAATGTGACATCACGGCGCTTTTGATGATGTTGGTGACAATAAAGCGCGAGATAATGATGCTGATTATGACGGTGATAAAAATGATCATCCCGACAGAAACAATTTAAATGTTGATGTTTGTGACAATAACTGGTGATGAATATGACGCCGGTGATGAATATGGTCAAAGCCCTGTTGACGACGATGGTGGCGATGCAGCTGCTGCTGATAATGACGATGATGGTTATGGTACTCCTGATGAATGATGGTGCTGTTGCTGAAAATGCTGATTATGGTGCTGCTGACAATAATGATGGTGCTACTAAGGCGACGGTTATGGTGCTGCTGGTGCTGTTGCCGATGGTGATGGTGCTGCTGCTGATGACGATGATGAATGTGGAAGGGAGGGGGGGGGTAACAAACCAGGAAGTGCAAGTAGAGGCGCCACGCGAGGGGGCAGCGCGCCACGGAGGGCACGCTCAGCGCACGCTCCAGCAGCGAGCGCAAGCGGTTGCTCAGCCCGGACTCCGGTATCGCCACGGAGACCGCGTCTCTGCCCGAGCTGCGCACGAGCACAAGGGAACGCGGCGCAAGAGAGCGCAGCGCAGGACACACGATGATAATACTTAATTTTTTTTATATACTAATAGATTTAGTGGAACGCAAAATAAAAACCTGTAAGCTTTTAAAGACCGTCCGGCATGGTGTGGGCTTGTTGTGGCCTTATGCTCCACAGGGAGCGAAAAGAAGTAAGTAAAATAAAACCCTGAAACGCGAATTATAAAAGATGGAACACAATTTATGATAAAATACAGAGTGATCCATTGATAGATATGCCACTGAAATAGCATAGAGAAAATTTTATTGTATTTCAAAGCCTCTACACATCTCCCAACAGTCTCAACGCACTCATGAACCCTTATAAAGCTCCGATCTGTACGAGCCGTCACTTTCACAGTATTCAATCCCCTGTTGAGAAGAAAGAGGGGCTCATTCGAAATGTGGGATATCTATAAAAGGATTACACTGCACAATATGGGTACATCTAATAGGGGTATGGAGGGGAGGGAGGAGAGGGGGGATGTGAGAGGGAGAGAGGGGAGGGAGGGAGAGAGGGAGTGGGGAAGGGCTGCGTGCAGAACGAGAGAGAGCGAGAGAGTGAGCGAGAGAGTGAGCGAGAGGTGGGGGTTTACATAAAGCAAAGTTATAAAAAAAAAATATATGAAATGATGAACGAAGCAGAGTGCCGACTACACCGAGCATCTTCTTGTTTCCGCTGATTGTAAAAAAAAGAGGGAGTGGGGAAGGAATGAGGGGGGGAGGGAGGGGGGGATGGAGGGGGGGAGGGAGGGGGAGGGGAGGGGAGGGGGGGGAGGGAGAGAGGGAGAGAGGGAGGGGAGGGATGTTAGAGGAAGAGAGAGAGGTGATGGAGTGGTGGTTACAAGAGGTGGAGGAAGGGCTCACCCGGAGATGGAGTCGACCGCCCTCTTGCGCCGGAGCTCGGCGTACACGGCGAAGAGCCAGGGCAGGGGGCTGCCCCCGGTCCTCGTGAGCCGATCCAACGCTCGACGCAGCTCCCCCATGTGGAGGCCTCCGCTCGCCGTCTAGACAGACGCACGGGCGGTTCCACGAGGTCGCACGCACTTCTCAGACACCTTGAAGACGTGGTGCAAGAATCAGCGTAGGGGTTGGATGGTGCATCCCTCACGCAGTCCTCCCTGTACGGCGTGCTCATGACTGTGTGCGCAAACCGATGCTGGCGGGAGGGGGGGGGGAAGTCACTACATGCCCAGTAGGCGGGAGAGTGCCCTTAGCGAGCACTTATTAAGGCTGCCACGGCACGCTCGTAACAGCAGTGTGTGGCCAGCATCACGCCTGGCCGTGTTTGTCTTCCCAGTGCTGATGTTTACACAATGCACCAGGTACTCACGTAGGACTGAGTGGCACATACTCACATATGCAAGCACAAGCGCACAGACATCAATCAGCAGCCACTTAGCGGTGGTAACTTTACCGTAGCACCAACGCCAGGCTCGGACCGCTTGGAATTTAAACAGGGACCACTCTCGCGTCGTTTCACTCGCCTCGTTCTGCGTGTACATCCGCAGCAGCTCGGCGCTGTCGGGGACGAGCGCCAAGGCGCTGCTCAGCGCCTCGCGCAGCGGTCGCCGTGGGAATGGCACCAACGTCGCGTGGAAACGCAGCAGCCTCGCTCGCTCCAGCAGCAGCGATTCCAGCTCCACGCTGCCGGCAGGGACACCACCGCAAGCCGGCGCCTCCTGGCCTCTTCCCGTTGCCGCCACCGCCACCGCCGCCTGCTCTTCTGGATCTTTCTTTCCGGGGTCGCGACCTTGTGCCAGCAGCGCAGCGCTCGCACGCACAAACACGGCATCGGCGGCCCACACGCTGGCCGTGACGTACTGCAGCGTCGCCGCACAGCACGCCACCGTCGCCAGACGGGCCCGTCCACTGGAACCGGAGTCGGCGACGGCGCTCGATTCGGTCGCCAGCAGCGCATCGAGCTCACGATCGAAGCTCTTGCGCGCACGCAGCACGGAGCTCGGCGGTGCGGGGCGTCCGTCAAACGGGGTGTAGCCGGCGCCGTCCGACGCCGCCAGCGCGACCAGCACGTGCGTCGCTCGCTGGCCGCCCTCGCCAGCCGCGCCCGCGCCGCCCTCCTTCACCTCGAGCTCCAGCTGCGCGTAGCGGAGGCACAGCGAGCACAGGGGCCCGTCGCTAAGCGGCGGCGGGGAGGCCGTCTTCGCGGCGGCGCCGGAGGCCGTGGCCATGGCGATGGCCGTGTCCAGGACCTTGCGGGCCGCCGCATGCTCACCGAGCCGCCACTCGAGCAGCGCAAACTCCTCCCAGAGTTCCAGGCGGTTGCGGTTTGCCGGTTCCTTGAGGAGGGTCTTTGCAAGGCGCCGGCTACGCTTGCCGAGAGCCTTGGCGCGCCGGCGGTCGCCCGAGCCCAGCACGGCCTCCACCTGCAGGGAAACGGCGATCATCTGGTGATTTAGGGTTCGGTGGTTATTGCACGAGTTCCGTTTGCCTGAAGTGCTAACGCTAACTGCTCAATCTCCCCAACTCTGGGTTTGTTTTTCACAGATATTTTATTATATTTTATTGTTTCCCCTCTTTTGCATATTTGTTTTATCTCATTTGCACACAATTCTATGCGTGTATAATGAGCGTAAGAATCAACACGGGTCAATGTTACCCTAACCCATCATTCTACTCATACTGGCCTCTAATGTCTTGTATTTCGACATTCAGAGGCGTGTATCTACGAGTGGAGGGCCGCTCGTTTCTCCAGGTGGCATCTCCTTCATCGCGAGAAAGAAGCGCAAATCCAAGAAAACGCTCTTACGACAGCATCAGTGTTAGCGCAACGACCTTTGCCCTCTGGTGCCGCAGCCAGCGCAGACCCAGGGCCGCCCGCTCCGCGCCGGAGAACAGCTGGAGCGCTTGCTCCAGCACGCTCCTCACGAACTCCTCTCCGGCGGCGCCGCCGCTCCACCGCCACCGCCGGGTCCCGGCGACCGCCGCCGCCGCCGTCGCTCCTCCCCACTCGTTCTCCTGCTCCTCCTCCACGTCGGGCGACGGTCCCAGGGCGGTGGCGCCGGGCCGCGCCGCCGCCGCGCCGCGCACCAACGACAGCGCCCGCTCCTCGGCGAACAGCAGCCCCGGGTCGTCCAAGGCGGAGGGCGGGGGCAGGCGGTGACCCCCGTCCGTGGGTCCTGGCGCCGGCGGGACGCCCAGGAAGGTGAGGAAGTGGTCGACGAGCTGGCGCCGCAGGTCGGCGGTGCGCAGCGTGAAGAGAGACGGGCCGACGTCGTCGTATAATACCTGCCGGGGGCGACGAGGTTCACGAGTCAGAGCGCCGTTTCGGCACCGCGGAGACCCCAAAGTCCAAATCCAGGTTTCAGCCGACCTGTGATTAGGCCTGCTTGTCAAGTGCAGTGCATTTGATTTGTGTAAGTCTGGCCACCGATCACTGCGAAGTAGGAGAGCTCGGAACTGGTCATGCTGCGACCCTAGGTTATAATCCGGGTTTCAGTCACCTGTGATTATTAAACCAGGTTCTGAAGTCGATTGGGTTGATAGCCAAGTCACCAATGACTGCACAAACACCCCCCCCGCCCCCACTAAATTTGGTATTTCACTTAAATGTATTAGCTTCCAGCTCTGAGAATTAAAAAAAACATACTACACTAATTTTGACTGTGCTGCAATGAACCATCTCTACAGCAGCGCATGTGGTAAAGCACCCCGCACCAAGAGTGGATCAGAGGTCACCGTGAATAGGGCTTGAAAGTAGTTATGTGATATCCACTTCCTACAGGCCATTATTGCACACGGGGTACTGCATTGCTCTGTGAGATTATCCCCATGGATTCTCGGTCTCATGACATGGCGCCGACAGCACAATCGGCATAACATTGGTGGACAGGAATTGGATCAAACTCATTTTACAGCAACAGAAGATTCCGCGTGCAGCGTCAGGGTCACACGGTGGGTTCACCTGTCTGTCCGGGTCCTCGCAGTCGGTCTCCGTCTGACCTTTGCCCTTATCCGGTCGCCACGGCAGCCACTGGCGGCGCTCGCGCGAGCGTTCCACGGATAACCACGCGCGCCAGCGAGGCACGGAGGATGCCGCCAGCTCCTCCTCAGGGGTCTCCCCGTCATCGTCTCCCACCTCATCACCCTCGTCTGCTCCCGCAGAGAGAGAGAAGAAACCAGAGAGTCAAGGGCAAACAACACAAAACACGACGGCCCTTCTATGCGATGGCCCGGATGAAAAGCCAGGAACGAACCACCATTAGAGCCTATTGGCATGTATTTATTTATAGATATCGTTTTTTATGTGTTACTCCAGCTTTATTATACCGATTGTAGCACGTCATGACAGGAAGAGGCTATAAGTAATGTTTGTCGCATGACAGCAAAGTGATAAATAATTCTCAGAACTGTAATTCGGCCGAATGAGTGCAGAACCATTTCGAAATAAAATTTTACTTTGAGTCCAATACCAATTTGTGTCGTAATGATAAACACGTTAGATGTTATCATTAAGGTATATACAATGATTAAATGTTGAATATTATTTCGTCTGAATTGTTGTAAAGATTTTGCAATGTTTTAGAGTGCTGTGTTATGATAAATTAGTTAAGTATATTTTCAAGTAGTGCATTCCGATTCATATTGTTGCTGGGGTTGAGTCGCTCATTCTACGCCGACTCTGTAAACGTGACAGCATTATATTGCGGTTACGTTATATGTTATAACTCCACAATGCGTTTCCAAGCCACACTCAGTCTGCAGCTGTCGGCTTGGCTGAAATTATTTTTACATCTCTCAATATTTATTCGGCTGTGTCCGGGTAGTGGGAGGGTGTTCAGTACACATTGGTATTGTAGTCATGCACTCTGACCCAAAAAAAAAATCATAAACCAATCTTAAAATCTGTGTGTTAAATGCAGAACCAATTTAGATGCGATGGGTTGGGTTATTTTTTTGTGACCGGGCTGAGACCATAAACTCACTAGACTTGAGAACCAAGTTTTATCACAAGCGGCTGCCTGGAAACAAACCAAGGAAGTCTGCGGTGCTGGGTCAGCCTTCTTGCCTCGAGCAACCCACCTAATTCTCACTTCCACCCGCTTAATTAAACATTTCACCATCGCCACTTCTCAGGTCAGTCACCGCCCCCACCCCCCCCCCCACCTGGAGGGTCAAGGGTGACCCAGCCGCCCCTCTCCTTCTGCCTCATCCAGGCACTCCACCCACGCGCTCCGGGCTCGCCGAACCTCGGTTCCCCGCTGTCCCAGAATGTCTCGAAGAACTCCACCTGGAGGAGAGCGGAGACACGTGTCGGCACCCCAGAGCCGAGACAAACTAAATGATCGATTCTTTACTCGGCATCTGAACACCCAAATCGCGACAACTCGCGGAATTGCCAGGGAGAGGGAATCGCTACAGGTGACTCAGTGGCAGCACATTCACCGCTTGTTGCAGAAGTTTCCTGACAGCCACCCTGGTTTATACTGCGGGCGTATTAACCATCAAATACGCATCCATCCTCTTCAGAGTGGACGTTAAATATTTCACCGTGTGCCGGTGTCGTGGTCTAAATCTGGCAATTTCCCATGAATATGCTAAATTCCTCTTGATATGCACATTCTTTTTGTTAAGGCGCTCTTCTTCCACCTCCAACCCAGCTTATATATAAGCTCCTAGCTTGGCAGTGTCTCATTCTTCACCTGAAGACGGCTGCTTGCGTTGTAGCCGAAACGTCGTGAGAATTATTTTATTTTATTATGTTTTATTTTTATTATTTTATTACTTCCCTTCTACGTTACTTTACCGAAAGAACCAAGAAGATCTGGCAATTTGATTAATTACTCTAAAATTACTCAGCTGGGAAGCTACAACTTGTGCCTCACAGGGACAGCTGCCACCGGGGGCTACCTGCCGCAGGGCGTCTTGAGACGCACTGCATTGGAGTCGAGGTATAAACATTAAGTAACAATGATGATTATGTTACGCGTGCGCAGTGGCAAGACGTACCAGGCCCCTGGTGGTGACCTCGGCGAGAGTGTCTGGCCGGTAGAAGTTGAAGTCCATCATGGCTTGGAAGAGCGAAATGGCTTTCTCCGTGTGGCCGGCCTGCCGCAAAAAGTGGCACTGCTGCAAGAAGATGTCTGTGTGGGGAGGCAAAGCAGCGGGGGGAGGTGAAGAGGGTAGAGAGATGAAGATGGTGCTGGTTGGAAAGATCCTCCTGCTGTTTGTGATCACCATCGTCATGGTCTCTACGCCGGGACGTCTCGGAGCGCTTTACACAAAATGATCGACATCGCATCTCATGATATTTGAAATGGCACTCACAGTAATAGCTGTGCCTGTTCAGCACAAGGTCACTCAGCACCTGGCCAGCGACAAGGCATTAGTCTTCCATTAGGGGGCGATGACTCCCTGTGTGATCCCAATTGAGTAATATGCGGGTAATTTTTCAAACACGACAAATTGGACGGCGGCACAACAATGGCCTAATCATATCGGATGATAACAGCGACGATTACGATAACGCAATAGATTCAGCACGGGGAGGCCGATGATCGCGTCAGGGGCGGTATGGCAGCGCCGTCTTACCCAGCATGGCCGACTCCGTGTTGGGCAGCAGAGGGTGAGACACGAGAGTCCCGTCCACCACGCCGGCCAGCGTTGTGAGGCTCTTCCCGTAGGTCGCGTTGACGCGTGACACGCCGAACGTCGCGTACTGGCTCTGCGTGTGCACAAACAGGAATACACACGTGCCAACACGCGTTCGTACACACGCACACACGGACGGGTGCGTTAAGGCGCGACCCGCCAAAAGTTGCGTACTAGCTCTGCGTGCGTCAAGGAGCATAAACCATCACGTGAACTCCGGACATCCTAGCAGAGGGTTTTGGCGAGCCATCGAACAAAGACGGTCATCGCGTCGCGTGCTTTCAGATGCGCTTCTGCGGCTGTCTGGAAGGCTCTTCGTTCGGATATTAGGAAGCCACTGGAGCTATGGACTTTTAAAACTGGATTAAAAACTCATTTCTTTATAAGTTATTTTTGTGTTTAGTTTATCGTCCTCCTGCCGCACCTCCGATTATCCCGTTTGGCTATGTACGGTGTGAAAAAAGTTCAACATACATACATACATACAAAAAGGAATACACGCGTGCAAACACACGTTCACACACACACGCACACCCACCCACAGAAGGGCGCATTAAGGCGCGACCCGCTGAATAAAGTGTACTTGCCCTGTGTGTGCGTGGGCGAGAAAATGCGCAAGATCACAAAACGCAGGTTCATGCGTTTGACTGTGCCCATTCGCCTTCTCCCGTGGCACCATTACTATTTTCACTTCATTCTATATAATCCTGTGTTCTAAATTGTGAACCCTGTAAACATTCTGAAATGTGGAGCTAAATAACTCACGAAAGTGTGAGGTCAAGGATTGACTTCACTGTTTGCTTGGGTGGCACCGTATCCAAGGTTGCGGTGGATGTAGATGTATGACATCATCATCGTCGTTATCACCATCATCATCGGCACCATGAAACAGCGAGTTTTCCAGCTTTTGGAGGCCGGGTAGCCAGTGTCTCATCATTTCGAAATAACTGCCGATTGATTATTATCGATTCATCAATTGATGATTTTAACCGATTTATCATTGCAACACTTTTGCTGTTTACTGGATATGTTTTCATGGTTGTGGTGTAAAATTCCCTCTGGTTGCGTATTTAAGTTGTTCCATATATTGCTCAGCATCAGAATCTGAATTTTTATTTAGACTGGAGGAATCCGATGAGCTATGAAGCTCTTTATCACAGATGTCCAGTAGAGCCTGGTCTCTCACATTTTATTAACTGTAGCTCCCTGCATGTGGAGCGAGCAAAACGTTGGGCATCATGATGAACAAAACGCGGTACACGACCTGACAACATCAGAAAGCAAAATCGCAAATGTAAAAACATATTTTTGAACCGAATGGTGAAATGGAAATCATAACAATTCACTGAATCGTCGAGAGGGGGGCGAATTGTTACAGCCCGGTGGCTGACCTGAGCGAAGAGCAGATACTGCCGCCACAGCTCGGGGTCGTTGGGGTGCAGGAAGGAGAGCTTCTTCCACTCGCCGGCGAGGCGCCCGGACTCCCAGAGGTCGCGACCCAGCTCAAGGCGAGCCAGCCGCAGAGCCATGGAGCTCGGGTTTGACTCCACGCCGCGCTCCAGCACCGACAGCTTCTTCTCCAGCACCGCTCGCTCGGCCACCTCCGCGGACAAGCGTGGCAAAACAACGACAAGGAGATGTTGTTAGAGATAGCGGTGATGACGATGATGAAACGTTAAAAACACAAGCCAATGGTGATGTCGAGACATTAAAAAGCAAGGCGATGACAACAACAATAATGACGGCGATAACGATAGGGCCTGCTGAAGACGGCGTGCCTAGCGAGGGTGAGCTGTTGCCCGTGATGCACGTGCATGCGAGTCGACGCACGTGTGCCGTACACACCTTCCTACTCTTCTCCGTGCCCCCGCCGCCGGTGCTACCGCCGCCGCCGTCAATCATGAGCAGCAGCGAGGAAGCGTCGCGCGCCAGCTCATCCTGCAGCCGAGCCAGGGCGAGCCACGAGGCAACGTCGCCGGGGTCCTCCCGCACGGCGCGGTTCAGCTGCTCCACGCGGTCGCGCAGTCGTCGCTCCCTCGCGCTCAGGGCCGTGATGCCACTTGAGTCCTGCTCGCCGTCATCAGGCACACCACGCGGAAAGAACTATTCCTCGTGTTATTCAGTAGGCGCGGCATGATGCATTGAGTCACCGATTCAGATCGATTAAAAATGGAACGATCGGTCTACCAAGACTCGACTTTGTGGTTGATTATTCCAGCCCCTTAAAAAGTGGCAGCTGCCCCTACATCCTGCCTCCAAAAGTCAGAAAGCCCTCTACAAGGCCACGTCCAGCGCGACGCGGATAATGATGCTGAATGCGTCACCAAGCACTGCCCATCACCTCCCGTCCAGCAGCACTCGATTAGTCGAGTAATAAATCACTTAAATAATCGGACATCCCGATTTTCGTGTGCACGCACCTCTCTCGTGCCGTCGCCCTCCGTCCCCTTCCCCTGCAGCCACAGCGTGGTGGAGTCATCGTACACGCCCAGCGGGTTCACCATCTCCCTCGCCGCCCGCTCAGTCGCGCCGCCAACGGGAGCGGACTTCAGCGGGAGGAACTCCCCAGGTGTAGGCGGGGGCGCGGGGTCTCGTGGTGCCACCGTCCGTCCCTCCTCTTCTTCCATAGCAGCGGCGGTGGCGGCGACAGCATTGGGGCTGAAGTAGCGACCGTCACGAACGCCGCCTCCTTGCCGCTTCCGATGGTGCTTCTTGCCGGATCCGGGCGTCTGCCACTCCACCGCCTGCCGTCCAGTGAGCAGCCCAAGGCAAGATTGACCTTTCCTCCGGTACCTATGGTGGGTGGGGTTCAAGTTGATGAATTTAGAACGTGGCTAAGAATTACACATTTCTGTTTGACGGACGAGGACTCTGGCTAAAATAAATCAACTCTGGTGGAGGAAGTCATCTCAGAGCAGGTGCCAGTGCAAATGTATTTTTGCGTGCAGGTGTGCTGAACGCAAGTCGGCGTCACCTCGCACACACCACTCAAGCCAGGCCAGCTGTCCCGGTAAGATGCCGAGTACAGACACCTGGCACGCGGCACAAGGTGAGCGGACTGCGTGCGTGCGCGCAGGGCTCACATGTGCTGAAAGCAGCACTCCAGTTGAGGTGCCGTGTTCTCACCTGGCCACGTGCGCCCGGTACAGGGACATGTACTGCAAGTTGGCGATGTCGGGCTTGGAGTCCTGGTAGAAGGGGCTGGCAGCGGGGTCGGTGAGATCCTCGAGCCAAATGCCGTGCTGCTGTACTGGGGCCTCGGCTTCTGACTTCACGCTTTAGTTGCAAAGGACAAATTCAGCGACAGTTGGCCGAGTCGTTCCAACACACACGTAACTCAACGCTTATTGTGATGCCTGAGAAATATCACATCTGCCCATTTGTACACTCTTAAATTATCTGCTTTCACAAAAACTACTCAAACCTTTTGGGAAGACAATACCTTTTTAAACATGTTAATTAAAAATGTGTAATATCGTACCGCGACACAGGGCAAGGCTTGCAAGAGTTCTTACGTGATGCCGATATTACAACAGGAATATAATTTGGAAAAGGGAAGAAAAAGAAACTTGAAATACATGGCTCCTCCGGAGGAGACCAAGTGGTTCAGAGATCAATGCGCTGGGCCAACACTGTGGAGATCCTGGGTTCCAATCCACGGAAATTTCCGGTGATTAAACCGAGTTCTCGAGTGTAGTAAGTTGGTCTCAGCCCAGTAACCAACGACAAAAAAAAACATTTCCGAAAATTTGGTTCTGACAATTCAATAATATTCGCTTTACTGTCGTGCGACAAACATTCCTCTCTGTGGCTGGGTGGGCACAGAAGTGCTGCCACCGACTGTGTGGGCCCGAGGTCACTTAAAGTGATCTCAGAGGTAGCTGTGGAATATCAACTTCTATAGGCCAAGTGAGAGAACCGAATGAAATTATGCCAATGGCACAATTAGTATACAATTGGGAAAGAAAAAAAATGTTGTTAATGTGGCCCCACTCTCCACCATAAAAGTTGATTGAGGTAGGCAGCTGACCTTTGCACTTTGTCACGGCTGACAATGTCTCTCCCCATCTTTTTTTTATCGTTATCACTTGACGAGTGGCTGTCATCTCGCCGCCGGTGATGCCTCTTCTTTTTCTTCTTGCTGCTCTTTTTCTTCTTCTGCTCCTTTTTCCTCTTTTCTGCAGCTGCCTTCCTCCTCTCTTCATCACCATCATCATCATCACCACTGCTCCGATGTGGGCCTCTCCGGACTGGACTTCTCCGGAGCGGGCTTCTTTGGTGATCGTTGTCTTGAGAATCCTCGGAGGAGCTGTAGCTATTGGGGACAAAGATAATGCCATCACTTTTAAGACAACAATATTTTTATTTTTACATTTTTATATTTGTGTAGCTTTCCCTAAAATGTCCCCTATTGTGGCATCGATTCGTTAAATAATTTATTGTGAAACATTTATAAACACTGAGATCCGTTCAAGTGACCTCTGTTCCACAAAGTAGGGTGAGCTTTTTCACACCCGCTCTGCCACCCACATTGTTTTTTAACTCTCAAATTTAATGTGATGTTTTATTCATGCATTCATTTATGGTGGGCTTAGACGATAAATTCACTAAACTTGAGAACCCGGTTTTAATTACGAGCGGCTGCCTGGTTTCGGACGCACGATCTCAATGACACCAGCCCCCACGCTGTGACCTCTTAACCACCCGGCCACCTCTCCTTTATTTTGTTGTCATCAACACACAATGTAGTGACAAAAACAGTTGTTTGTACACAACAGGAATGATTCAACTTCAATGATCACTGCAATGATTAATTCAGCAGTAAGCAACTAACGATTTACCCCCGCAGCCACTCGATGAATTGTCTTGATTCGATTAAGGAATGTCAATGCAGTATGGCACATTGACATACAGACCTAAGCCTTGTTTCCTAGTCTATCTAACATGACTCTGAAGTGTCATTAATGAGAAAATATTCTCTGCAATCAGTCAGGCGCACTGCACAGCATTTTGTTAATGCACTCCTAAATGAAGGCCTTCGCAAGCCCTGCGGGTCAAGGTTGATTATTTGACCATACCTCACCACAATAGTCGGTGTGGGTTAGAGAATTTGCGCAGCATAGATGCGGAGCACGGAAGTACAGTCCATCAGAGGGCACTGTCCTCTGTTACCCACCAAGTAGCCCCACAGCCACCTAAGACAACCTGCTTGTGCATGGTGGTCACTCATGCGAGGACTATCCAGGCTAAACTTTGCTTAGCTTTCAAGATTTTATGAGATCAGATGTATTCCTGGTCACTTGGTCATAGGCATGAGCGCTGCGGTGATCCTCAATGAATGAACGTTCAAACTCGTGTGGCACAGCCTGCGACACGCAGCTCAGGTGTGTAGCTACTAGAGAAGAGCTAGATTTGAAGCTTTCGTGACTGCAAGGATTCATACTCTTAGGTTTTTTCGGTAAAGTCACGTAGGTAAAAATAAATAATAATAAAAGTGTAAATAATAGAAATAAAATTATAATCACGACGTTTCGGAGGCAACACAAGTCTCCGTCATCAGGTGGGACCGTCACAGCCAGATTTAGTGTATCAAACAAATCTAGCTGTGACGGTCCCACCTGATGACGGAGACTTGTGTTGCCTCCGAAACGTCGTGATTTATTATTTTATTTCTATTATTATTTCTATTATTTTAACTTTTATTATTTATTTTTACCTACGTGACTTTACCGAAAAAAACCTAAGAGTAGAGAAGAGCTGTTTATTGTTCGGTCAGCATCTTCCCGTGAATAAAAGCCAGAACGGGTGCCGGGGTGTCACCTGCTATCCGAGCACCGCCTTGGACAGACGTGGCTGTTCAGAGCCAAGGCATCGACAGTCCGGAAGCTCTGGTTGCTGAGCCAACCCAGGCCTGCGCACAGAAACCACACGTGCCCACACACACACACACGTGTCAAGCTGAACAGACATTGGTGCCTTAATGAACAAACCGTGATATGAATGCAATGAGAGTGTAGTCATTGTAAAGGGGCGTTCGCACCCCATGTCAGTTGATTCCACCACAAACCCCTCCATAGATTCCTACTGTTTGAGCTTGCAGCTGTTGAAAAGTTGGCAGCTGATCTCTTAAGATCTATACTGACAGTCTCGTCACCACCACCACCGGACCCTCGACTCCCCCCCCCCCCCACCAGACCCCCGATTCCCATCCCTCCCCCCCCCCCACCGACCCCCGACTCCCACCCCCCCACCGGACCCCCGACTCCCACCCACCCCCCCACAGGACCCCCGAGTTCACCCCCCCCCCACCGGACCCCCGATTCCCCCCCCCCCACTCGGACCCCCGCATTACCCACCCCCCCCACCGGACCACCCGACTCCCACCCCCCTCCACCGTCGACCCACGACTTGCCCACCCCCCCACCAGCCCCCGATTCCACCCCCCCACCGGACCCCCGATTCCCACCACCTCCCCCCCCACCGGACCCACCCGATTCTCCCACCCCCCACCGGACACCCGCGCCTCCCACCCCTCCCCCCCCCCACCGGACCCCCGACTTCCCACCCACCAACGGACCCCCGACTCCCACCCCTCCCCCCCCCACCGGACCCCCGACTCCCACCCCCCCACCGGACCCCCGACTCCCACCCCCCCACCGGACCCCCGATTCCCACCCCTCCCCCCCCCACCGGACCCCCGATTCCCACCCCCCCACCGGACCCCCGACTCCCACCCCTCCCCCCCCCACCGGACCCCCGACTCCCACCCCCCCACCGGACCCCCGACTCCCCCCACCCCCTCCCCCCACCGCCGCGTGTTCCTCCTCACCCCTCGAGGCGTCAGTGTCGGCGTCTTGGGCGCCGGAGAAAGCTGGGAAGAGAGCGGGAAGAGCCGTCGGCGGTGGAGACGAACGAGGAGGAGGAGGAGAAGGAGAAGACGAGCGAGAGGAGGTGTCCATGGCCGCTCTATTTGAACCCTCTTCCGTTCGCCACGGGAGGGCGCTCACGGCGAGACGAAGAGGAGGAGGGTGGATGCCGTGGCAGCCATGTTAGGTAGGGAAGGCGTCCTCCTACCGCCGGTCAATTCTATTACAATTGTTTAAGTCTACAATTATTTTAGTCTTCAATTATTTTCGTCTTTAAGTCTACAATTGTTTTAGTCTACAATTATTTTAGTCTTCAATTATTTTAGTCTACAATTAGTTTAGTCACCAATAGTTTTAATCTTCAATTATTTTAGTCTACAATTGTTTCAGTCTACAATTATTTTGGTCTACAATTATTTTAGTCTACAATTGTTTTATTCTACTATTAGTTTAGTCTACAATTAGTTTAGTCTGCAATTGTTTCAGTCTACAATTGTTTCAGTCTACAATTATTTAAGTCTTCAATTATTTTAATCTTCAATTGTTTTAGTCCTCAATTATTTTAGTCTTCAATTATTTTAATCTACAATTCTAGTCTCGCTCTTAAAAAAAGAGACTTTCTGTAAAGCTACATTCACCTCAGGGGACTCACCCACCCACCCACTTACTCACTCACCCACCCACTCACTCACTTACTCACTCACCCACCCACTTACTCACCCACCCACCCACTTACTCACTCACCCACTCACTCACCCACCCACTCACTTACCCACCCACTCACTCACCAACCCACCCACCCACTCACTCACCAACCCACTCACTCACTCACTCACCACCCACCCACCCACTCACCCACCCACCCACTCACTCACTCACCCACCCACCCACTCACCCACCCACCCACCCACTCACCATCACCACTCACCCACCCACCCACTCACCCACTCACCCACCCACTCACTCACCCACTCACTCACCCACCCACCCACTTACTCACCCACGGTGCGTTATAGTGCAGACTCCGTGTTAGGGGCCGTTCAAAAATGACGTCACGCACCTAGGGGGGGGGTGTGTCAGATATTTGAGACGATGTGTGACGAGGGGGGTGGGTTGAGAAATGTGACGTCACATCAAAATGCGAAACTTTAAATAAATATAGACAACACGTTCTATTTAATTAAATACTTTTTAATAAATGTTTTCTCCTACAACATCAGAGTGCAGCGCCACATTAAATACGCACTACAATGACAATAGTTTAAAGCGATTTGAAGTATGTTTTATTTTGGGGGGGGGGCAGAGCTTTGTGACGTCATATTTGAGGGGGGGGGGGTCTGACTCTTTGTGACGTCGTGTGACGAGGGGGGGGGTCAAAAATCGTCCAAAATCGCGTGACGTCATTTATGGACGCTGTCTTTCCGACAGCTGTTTCCTCATCTGAGGACGGCTGCTTGTGTTGTGGCCGAAACGTCGTGAGGATTTTAATTTCATTATGTTTTATTATTTTATTATTTCCCTTCTACGTGACTTTACCGAAAGAACCAAGAAGACGATAACAAACAAACAACAAGTTTCAGCGACATCGAATTTTAGCGGCGACAAGTTTCCTTGAGCAAGATGAAGGAGGCGAGCAGCCGTCCCGAGATGACGCAGGGGCTGTTACACGGAGCCAATGGCCGCTCTGTTTACAAGAACGGCCCCAAGGGAGTGTTCTCGCCTGCGTTGAGACCTTTGTGGGGGGGGGGGGGGGTTACTGGTAGGAAGCTCCTGGTTACACCAGCCCACAGGGGATTATTGTGTCCGTCCGTCGTGCATCCAAAAATGGGAGGGGTGGGGCTGGGTGGAGAGGGGAGGAGGATGGGGAGGGGCTGGGCGGGGAGGGGAGGGTGGGAACGGGCTGGGTGGGGAGGATGCTGCTGGGTGTGGGGTGGGAGGGGTGGGGCTGGGTGAGGAGGGAGAGGCTGGGTGGGGAGGGGCTGGGTGTGGAGGGTGGGGCTGGGTGGGGGGTGGGAGGGAGGGGTGGGGCTGGGTGGGGAGGGGCTGGTCACCCCGTGGTGCCCTTATAAAACTCAACGTTTAACCTACTCACGCCGGCTTGTGCCCGCCCTCACAGTCAGGCTATATTTGCGGAATACACCACGCCGCCGTTGACCCTGGCCATTGACAGAGCAACCCAACGTTCCTACTAGATCCCTCCGCAGGAATGTGTTCCTTACACAACTACCACCACCTCTGGTGACCGACTAGAAACAAAGTTTCGAACGTGCAGTGTTGCAGCAACAACTGTTACATTGCTTTTATAGCTTTATTTTGGTGATTTCGAAAACGTTTTGGTTTAGCCATATTTGTTTGTTGTAGTACAGAGTTAGACTGATAACTTTCATCTAAATTGTTTTATGGTTGTTATTGTGTTTGACTTGCATCCCACAGGGATTTTTACACACAGCGGTGAAATGCGGTGTTTTTCTGGAAGACTTTGCTGTTTTTTCTGGATTTTTCTGTTTGCGTGTAGTCACTTTAATATGTTTCTTGTTCATGTTTTTGTTTGTTGCGGTTGCACCCGATTCAAGAGCCGAATGGCTCACAGAGCTATACCTAATAAATGAAACTGAAATGAAACTGAAAGTACTTTGGACCCGTCATAGCAACGTGGAATGCAAACAGCTCGAGTGCAGTGGCTCGGCGCAGATGATGGAGATTGAGAGTTCTCCTTTGAGCATGATTGGGGCTCTCTCACGGCCGACAAGGCACCCAATGACGAATATCTGAACCTGGTTACTGGGTCTTCCCCTAGGTAGACTCGGCCTCAAATGAGTACCTGGTTGCGGTGTCTAAAAACATCGTCGCTGGGGGGAGACAAAGGGCTTGGTGCTGGCCACCCATACCCACCCCCTCGTGCGCCGTTCCGGCCTTCATAGGTGCTGCTCGTTAACAACATTTGCCCCTACAGTCTGTTCAGGCTACAGGGGGAATCTTTATCTTTGTAATAAGCGACTTCCACGACACGTCGTGTAGAGGGTACTTTTTATTACTCACACTGGGCACAACACGGGCCAATACTTATTCCTTCTCACACCGAGTACATCACTAGGTGTTAACACCTCTACTGGCTACACACAGCCGATCACTCGGCGTGGTCCCATCGCCCTCAGTTGGCTACGCCGCTGGCTGGCGTGACGATCACGGCGATGGAAACCACGCAGGAGATCTTCCACGTGGCCAGACGACAGAGCGCGATGTCTGCAAGCAGCGACGCAGCCACGACCCAAGACGCCACACAAGCCCTGAGCCCACTCCTTATATCCTCCCAGGCGTGACTCGGTCCCACCTCCAGCCACGCCCTCTCGTGGAACCTTCGAGCAAGTTTGGGGAGTTTCTCGGCTAACCCCACCTTTTACCTTTGCCCCAGATACCCCTACTTCTCTGATTGGTTGTTACTTAACCGTGCCCGTACCCGTGATTCGCCTTCCAGGCCAGCAGGTGTCACACTGTCATTACACATTATACAGTCGGGTAAATGTAATCAATGATTATTGTTGATGTTGTTGGCAGCTACATAATAAGTGGCTCATCCGCACTGTTTGTACCCGAACTTGAGCACGATTCTGCCAATGCGACCCAGGTCGACACCGGTTTTATTTACAGAATCAAAATATTTATTTTAGGCGGTGTACTGGAGGAATCCGATGAGCTATTATGCTCTTTTTTCACATGTCGAGTAGTATTGCATGTAAAGTTTTGCCGAGCCATGTGAGAACTCAAGAGACCGGTATCTTCGCATTTGCTGGGTTTTGCAAATGAGAGAGGTCCACAGTTTGCCAGCTGCAAAAATAAATGTCTCTTGACAATCTAGGTTCTGGAAGACCAATAAATAGGCTGATTAACTTATTTAAAAGTGGAGTTGTGTTTACTTTTACCCAGTGTTGTGCGCACGTACGTTTGTACACCTGCCAGCTGTTTGATCTGCAGTTCATGAGAAGTCTAATTTATAAATGTACAAATCCACCTATAAGTTGGCATAGGGGGCAGTGGTGGTGAGATGTAAACTTCCTCGCCTGCTATCCAGGAGACTCGTGGGTTCAATCCCGACCCTGACTGCCTACTGTAAAATTGGATTTTGCGTGTCTCGCTCTCTACCCGTGGTCGCGTGGATTTTTCTCCGGGTCGTCCGGTTTTTTCCCCCAACTTTTAGAATTAACATCACGCGTTTAGAGCATTTGGCTGCTGTGAATGTCCACGTGAAAAGCCACTTCGTCAAGCTATGATTTGTGGCCAAGTCGCTTCTTAAAAAAGATAGACGGTATAGCTCGGTGGGCCTTATTTGGTCAAATAAATATACATTTTACTTTTAATATCGGCCCCGAAGCTGCTTATAGCCACTCTTCCATTAAAAATAGATGCGGTACCAACGGATAAACAGCCAGGCGCATGGCATCACTCCCAAGCTGCAACTATCAAGCACACTTTTCTCATGTAGCCCATGGGACAGAGTGGACATTTGTATACCACTAAAGTTAGCAAAACTTCCCAAGTACTGTACCGATTTATTTATATGTATGTACGTTGAACTTCGTTCGCTCAGTACGTAGCTAACCGTGATAATTAATCTACATTAATTATTAGATAACTCACTCATTCGTAATGGTTATCACATAATTTACTGTTAGTGACCACATCAATAAATTGGAATTTCAAATATTATGCCACCTCGGTTGGTACGGAATATCTGGGCCCATGGACTAACCAGGATGCTGCTATGGTGTAAGTTGAAACAATGGATAAGGAGCCGTCCATAAATGACGTCACGCACCTAGGGGGGGGGGGGTCAGACATTTGTGACGATGTGTGACGAGGGAGGGGGGGTTGAGAAATGTGATATCACATCAAAATGCGCAACTTTAAATAAATATAGACAACACGTTCTATTTGATTAAATTTTTTTTAATAAATGTTTTCTCCTACATCAGAGTGCAGCGCCACATTGAATACGCACTACAATGACAATGTTTAAAGCGATTTGAAGCATGTTTTATTTGGGGGGGGGGGCAGAGCTTTGTGACGTCATATTTGAGGGGGGGTCTGACTTTTTTGTGACGTCGTGTGACGAAGGGGGGGGGGGGTCAAAAATCGTAAAAAATCGCGTGACGTCATTTATGGACGGCCCCAAAGGTTTCTAAACCACTCATCCCCCCTGCCTCTGTCCACTCAGCAGTACAAACGGTTGCACCGATTAGTCGAGGTCGCGTCCGTGTGGTGGAGTAAAGTGTGGGTACTGCCACCTCTTCCAGAATGTCTGGTCCAGCGTAGTATAGAGTAGGCCAAACACCCCTCTCGAGTGAGATGGAGATGCTGTAACTGCATTCTCAAGCTCTCTAAAGCGCCCTCTAGTGGAGGCAATGGGACAAGTCATTGAGTTGCTGCACTTTCACATTTAAATGTTAATGATGTATTTTGAACTTCTTTCGCACTGCACGATGTTGGATGATAGTGATGGTTAGGATGGATGTGTTAACATCATGAGCCATGATGTATATACTTCTGGATGAAGGCCTCCCCACACCATCACTCACGGTCACGCGATGTTTCATTCTGTCTTGCATACAAGCTCATTGCATCGCTTCCATCTCTCCTCTG